AGCGGTCTTATGTTGGTCTTGTGATGGTCTTGTGGGGTCTTCTGATGGTCTTAAGAGACAACACCCGTACAAAATGTGCATTTCCCCAGCAAGAATTTGAAAGAGATTGGGTCAACTCAGTCCCAGATAGATTCAGCCTTAAAAAGGCCTCTGCTCTTGAATCTGTACAGTCTTTCTAAAGATATCGGTCTTTCTTCGTTCTCTTTTTTTTGTAGACAAGTAAAAGAAAGCGAGGCTCCATCAAGAACAAGCCCGTCGTGAAGAAAGGCAAACGCAAGACAGCTGCCCGCAAGACCTCACCCAAGACGACCAGCAAGAAACAGCGTACCAAGTAGGCTCTGAGACGAGCACCAGACTTCTCAATGCATATATACTTTTTAATTTGAAGAAAACAATGACAAGAATCATTTGACCACTGACGCATGCAGAGTTTTGGAACTCTGTAAAAATGTTGCTGGAGTTCCTTCAGCTGTTGGCGACATGAGAGCATCAGTGTGTCGGATGTCGGTTGTCAAAGTTTTCATGTAGCCGTAGATGAGACGTTCGTTTTCCCTGATCTTGAAACACCAGTGATTTGCCTGTTCTGCTTTGGGCAGATGCTGTTGAAGAAATGTCCCTGATTTGTTTTACCGTTTGCTTCAGAGAACAGTTATTTGAGAAATCTCGTAAAGCACTGTTTCTACCCCGTATCTTAGAATTGAGGGAATGTACATCAACATCACCAATGAATTATTTGGGTTAGTTTTGTACAGCGGTTGTATGACTTTTCTCAGTGAGAATTAATTCAGTGTGATGGGAAAATCTCTTAATACCGTAGCAGCATGTTAGAATGTGATGTTAATGACAACCATAGATAACAAGATGTTTTGATCATTTTATGAAGATCCTCTCTCATGCAATTAAAACAAAAAAAGCAGCTCTATACCCCGTCTTACCAAGGTGGTTTTATGTCGCTTCCTGAATGAAAGTGAGTTTAAATGACGCCACCCAGTACTGTAAGTATGTTCCTCCAAACGTTGTGCATACATTGCTTGAAGAATTATGTTTTGGCAAAGAGCTAGTCAAATATCCCAACTGCAAGCGTTTGCTTAAGGGCTTACTTTGCTTCAGTTCATTACAAGTGTGTTGTGACTCAGATTGTTGGTCATAGTTGATGTTCTTACGAACAGCTCGCGCTCAGCTTTGCCATACCAGGACCAGTTAGGGAGAATTCTGGCCGCCTCAGCCGATGGTTTTCACAAGCAGTTTGCTACTATGTTGTTTTTCAACTCTCAAAAACCTGTGAGGGGATTTGTCATTTGAAATAAGTGTATAGAAAGTAGGAATTAGGAAGGTCTCGGTCTTGACAAAATGCATCAATATGGCATCATTTCTGTGAAATGTTTCACCCAAACAGTACAATTATTGGCAGGATAATCGAAGTCCAAGCAAGTGAAGCCTAATTTTATTCTGGTTTTCTGGGTGTGATTTCTAGCAAGAGAGGACTTGACTTAAATGCCAGCCGACAGAAATCACATTCCTTGAGTCCTAATTGTAAAAATCAGATCAGTGGGCTTCACTGTGCGAGGATGGCTGTTAATTTCTCTTGAATGTAATTATTAGAATATTGGGTGTATGATAATTTCTCAGTTTATACAACTTTGAAAAAGTTAATGGTGAGATTCTGTCTGTCCTGTCTGTATGTTTCATGCGTTTCTGATTATGTAGTGGGCACCAGTGAAAGAGATATCTCATTGCGAGTTTAATGTCTGTGGGTGAAGGGCATCAAGTGCATTGTTCTACTTTATGCATAATCAGTATGGTTCGGCAGTGAACTGTAGTCATGCATATTCATGAGAGGGAGGTCAGTTTTGCTGGACGTTTGCTCTCAGCCTCTTTGCATAGGAACTGTAGGTAGAGCTTCATGGCTCACTCTTCAGGGCGAAGACAGTGTGACCATGCGGGAAAGGACTGCCAGAGTTGTGGCTCCGTCTGCTGTCAGCTCGTCCCTGCACACTGGCAAAGACTCAGTCCTAGCTCTAGACACCTAGATTAAGACCTGGCCTGTCTGCTGTTAACAGCATTGAGCAGGGTCAATCAGTCATTGGCACATGCTGGCTGACAATGGTAACACTACTTCAGTCGACTGTGCAGGTCAAATCTACCAAGACCAGTCTCACATATATCACAATATGCAGAGGGAACCTGAGTCATAGATTGCTAGAGTGAGGTTCGACTGTGGTTGAACTAGTAATGTTCTCTACTTCTTCACATTTTCTCCATAGTTATGCCACCAGACTACCGAATGGGCACATCTTTGTAAAAAGTTGGACCATTACCAGACTAGTCTCAGGCTTCATATAGGTCTTGCTTGTTTCACTTTTCGGGTGAAAACTGTAGAAGGAAAGTCACCTTTTAAAATTGAACTGAGAGGAGGCCTTATCTTAGCCTCAAGAAAATGTATTTTGCGAGTAAGGGCGGCATGATTTTTTTCAGTTTGTTTCCCTACAGTCGGGGTCTTTGCCATGTACTCCAATATTGCAGCGAGAGAAGTTTGTTGGGGGGGTTGAGGGATTGTGTAGTAGCAAAAAATGCTTTGCGTCTGGCTTCAGACATTCGTTAGTAAACACAGGTTCTTTTAAATACCTACCAAAATGCACCTTCCCCGTCCTTACTTAAATCATGTGACAGAATAGATCTCTATCATAAGGCGGCCATTTTGCTTGTCCACTATTCAAAGCAATGTAACCAAACTGGGGCTGGAAGGAAAAATAGTCTGTTCCCTTTAATCAACATGTGAAGTTGTATCACTATTGCTGATGGGTCTTCAGGGAACTAGACAAACATGGCAGCAGCATGATAAGGGTTATAGTAGCAAGCATTGGAGGCTTAACATTGCGACGTCATGACAAATTACAGTGCTGCATAGTTCAGGTCGCCAACAAGACCAGATATGGAAATATTCACCCCACGTTCCACTGTGTGTCCACTGTAAATATTGAATGTTACGAAGATAATTTCCTGAACAGAACACTCTGTGAAACGTAAAAAACCTCATGGAAATTTGTGAGCGGATTTATTCATTATGTGTAGGTACTTACTTGGAGAACAGTCTGTAAATAATTTTCCAAACACAAGAGATGATTTGCCATATGCAGGTATTGATGACTTGATGTCAGATGGACGTTCAGACCACAGAATACAATCATATGCATAATTTCAGTCACATGATTTTTGACGGTCAGTGCTCAGTAAGCCTTTTGCGAGTTAAATTTGAATAGAATCTTGAACACTGAGTCCCTTAAATTCACGTGAACATAACAATTTGAATTCTCCACACTAAAGACGCTGTTGCTATACCTTGTGATTCAGGGCAAGCTTTTGCTTAGTTACAAAAGAGACGCCTTGCAACAATACACTGTTCTCAATGGATAAGAAGGGCACAAAGGAACAATCCATTCCAGAGATGGTGGTCGCTATGCAAAAGCTCGCTCCGAGTCACGAGGTACAGCAACAGTGTCTTTAGTCTGGGGAATTCAAATTGTTACGTTTATGTGCAATCTCATGCTCAGTGTACCAGATTTTATTCAAATTAAACTTGCAAATGGCTTATTTACATAGATGCACACTGAACTGAGCGTGCTTTCACAGTATCTCAACATTTTGGCGTACATGAAATTACCAATAAAAATACTCAGATTCGAAACTGCATGCGCCTCCATGGACATGGTACGCTTCCTGAAATGCGTTTGCCCGTCATGTTACGTCACGTGAAAAACCTCTATACGCTATGTTGCAATTCTGGATTGAGTTTTCACATTGTCTGTATTGGATAGGATGTTCAAGATTTGTTAAATGAAGCGCATTCTCAGACTACATGTACTCTTAGTGCTCTCTTTGATCTTTTGTAGGTATTTACACAAGTGAACAAATGTATTTTTGTACTGTTTTTTTTTGTTTTCCTGTATGCATGGTGGTAATGGGTGTGGTCTCGATACATTCAGACGTGTATTTTTTTTCCCCCGATGTGATGTTGTAGAGGGTTTTTCCAATAGTGTACATTTTGTTGGAAGAATGTTGTTACCCAGAGCAGAATGAGCCATGTTGTCTGTTTTGGGTGCCATGGGTTCTGTGTAAATGTGACTTTACACAGTGAGTCATTGCCTTTAGATAAGGGAATAAATCTCGGCCAGGAATGTTTAAGACCAGAACAGGGGTATGGATGCTGGAAGTGCCTGAGCTGAAGACAAGGGACATTATCAGCATGCTAGCCATGCATATATATATATTCATAAATACCCTGTGAGTCACAAAGGCAAAACAACTTTTTAAAATTATAACTTTCCAATGATTTTGCTCAGCATAGGTACATTATGTTGTTCAAACATCCCTCCAGCTGTATTATGGTATGTTAAGGTAATAGGTTACCCATAATGCATTGCAATGTCTGTTCTCAAAATTTGATTGATCTGTGAGGGTGGAAGAGATGAATGAAAGGAAGATGCAAAGCACTGTGGGTAACTTGTTGTCACAATCATTGTAAATGTGCATACATATTTCATACAAATGTTTCATTGACAAGTGGAAGTGGTCACCCTGGATCACACAGTAAACTGTGTATGTCATATTAGAGCCCAAAGAAATCATGTCCTTAATACTACAGGGCCATGAGTGCCTTCAGGACTGGCTGGAGTTGGGTGATGAGTGAATTCATTTGTATGATGCGTATTTGTACTTGCCAGAGTATTAAGGACTTTTCAGACTTGGGAGGACACTTAGGCAGCTGAAGGCAAATTTCTGATGTTCAGATCTGCACATTCCCAGGATGCCCTGAAAATAATTACAAGGCACGGAACACTTTTGAATGTTTTCCTGTTAAGCTTTTTCCCTGTCTCTTAAGTCATTTTTTTCCCATAATGTCCTGAAGTTCAAATATGGATTTTTTTCCGGTACTTTGTGATTCCAGTTAGGTTGTGTGTTTAAAAAAGGGAACAAAATTCACCTTGAAAATTGCTGGGTAGGTTAAAGCGTGCTTTAATACAGTTTTTAAACGAAATTTACACTTACTTAAACAGAGTTAGATATTTCTGCTAAGTTGATTGAAATTAAGATTAAACTTCTTTGGGCATAGGATCAGTAATATGAAATACAAATGTAAAATTTCAGCAATTCCAAGTATGAGCCTAAGGCTTATTTGTATCAGCCAAATGTTGGAAAAGTGCATTTCTAAGATCAAAAGGAATTGCGGCAAATTTCTTGATGTTTAACAGTTGGTCTTCTTATACTACCAGCATAATGTTGGCATCTTACCAAGTTAACATCAATGGCTTGTTGTTTTCTGCATAGACAAGTACCCCTACCAATAAAAAAAATTGGTTTGTGTATTAAGTGTAAAAGGGGAGGAAAATGTGATATTAATGTTACTCTTAAAAGTTCATGGTATTTCTAAGTAAGTTTAGTAAAAACTGGAATGTTTCTCTAGGTCAAAATTCACAACGATAAATGGCTTTCATTTTAAAACTTTTAATGGAGACGACTGTTTATTTGTGACGTTCAGTTCTGTACTCTTGGAGTAAACTGTCAGATGAATTATGGGATGGAAATAAAGTACATTGATGATAAAAGGTAGTTGGGGTTAAATTGATCTGCTTATGGATTTTGCTTTAAAATTTACCCATTGACAGATCTAAAGAGGTAACAGAGGCTGTGAGAATAATTGGGGGAAAATAAGGAAATAGATTTTTTAGGCACATTTTTATTTCCTTCCCTGAGCGTGCCAAGTCTCCGAAATTGAGCTCCACCCAGAAAGGCCATAAAGGATAACAGAAGAAGCTTCCAAGTCCTCCCCCCCCCGAAAATGGCCCCCTCTGAAACTTTTTAAGCTGGATCTGCCCTTACGTCTACCATAAGATTTTTAGGATTTCGCAGGAGGGGCTTGATACCCGTCGAAAGCTTAAAAGAATCAAGTTGAAATAGTTTTTCCCTGTTGTACCTTCATAGTTGAGGATTCAGCAGGGTTCTCAGCAAAATGAAGTTTTTCGGACGGTATAATACGATTATGGAAAATAATGCGGAGGATCACCCAAAGGAAAGTTTCATTCCTTCGAACATTGTCCCAACACCTGAAACCCAGTGGTCTTTTAAACACAATAGATGTTTCTCAGTAATTTGCGATGTGTTGTTGACTATCAAACTCTCCATTGGAAATCTCTGCGGGCGCACAATAGCTCATGTCTCGCCCCATTCAAGAGATTCACGGGCTGGCAGATCACTTTTGCGTCCCCACAAACAATTTCAACACCTTATGCATGCGTAGTGTCTTCATGCGTAAGCTGGTTGTAAAGAATTTGCCAGCCAACATTAATTAAGCAGTAGCGTTAGTGGGATTAGATGTAAATGATGAATGGATTGGTGGGGATTATCCTGTACGCATATTGACAGACCTGTCTTAACCCCTTGGGATTAATGGTATCCAGGCACGCGTAAGTTGACAATGATACGCTGTGGGATTTTGCAAACTCAAAACAAACACTCTGTGGCACTTATGCAACGATGAAACTATAATTGCACGTAGACGGTTACATAAATTGGGGGTGGGGTGGGATGGGGTGGGGAAAGGTGGGAGGATGACTTGCCCAACCATGGAAATTTTAAAAGGTGTGGGGGGCGAAACCATATATTCTACATAGGGTGCGATGTTCATAATAAAGATGTACATCTGTAATATGTATCAAATTCAGGCAGAATCTTACATCATATTTATGGCTTTTTAAAATTGCTTTCCCTTTTTCGTGATATTGCAAAAGTTTAGTCGTAGGAAAATCCTGAAGATGCTTTACAGTCGGCTTTAGTTTTTTGATCGTCACAAACAAGTGTGTGTGTGTGGGGGGGTGATTCAAAATAACTCATCCTTCGCAATAAGTGTGGGGGATATATATCCCCCAACTCCTGGGATTTACGCCAATGGTTGTAGAAATTGGAATTATAGCTACTTAAAAGAAAGTGTGATGTGGTTCAAAAATACAACATTGATTTTATCTGTTTGCAAAGGGAAAGACTTTGTTTAATGTGTTGGTTGCTGGAAACTTCGCTAATGACCGGTTGATGAGACTCCTTAGCCGGGAATTTTAGGGGAGGGAATTTACTCGACAGGCAACATTCAGCTGAGAACTGTGTCCACGATATTCTTTACATGACCTTTTCGGTGGTAAGCGTAGATTTCCTGCGCTTAGCGAATAGCTCAGCAACTTCATGAATTGAGTAGATCCAGGATTGGCCGAAAGGGTACAGCTGTCTAGAGTGGGATTTAACTAGATTTTCTTTGGTCATTTCATCAGTTGTCATTTTTTTCCTTCCAAAAGTTTGGTAACCCGAGGATGGATTTAACTCTTCAGATCCCTTCCATCAGAGTGTAGGCAGTCCCATTTTAGGGTAATTCCACGGTTAATATGGAATATGACGTACATCCCGATATCCCATCTTTATACAGGTAGTGTGTACGGCTCGTAATAGGGTTTGGAAGGACGGTTGCTGTATCTGTGACATAATAATACAGACAGCACGCAGCTATCTCATTGAATTGATGTGGATGAAGAGACCTTTGCTTTACGCAAGCTCATGCTAGGTCTAGTTCATGACATTCTATATTTTACTTGAAACACAGTTTTGCATGTCTTTGTTCTTTAAGAGAACGTACTAAGTTTTAACAAATCATGTTTGCAGATGCCCAGAAATTCCCGCTGTTAGACTAAGTAAAAAGACAACTTTCCCCAAATATTCAGTGTATAGATTGAAAATAAATACAAGTAAGGAATTCTTTACACTTGTCCTGTTCTTGTTATTTACTTTGGTCAAGACAGGTATTGGCAAAACGCTCGTCTTTTTAAAGTGATGTATCCCAAGAAAAAAAAATCATTCAGAATATAAATTCTTTTCTAAAGTCGCTTTTGAGTGGCATTGCATGTGTGACAAAGATGAGCATCCCCGGGGCACACGCGCCCAGCAACAGGTGGGTCACATTTTGCTCATATTGTTATGTAAATTACAGGTAGCCAATCACTTGGCAAGTTCAGGCGTCTGTTACAGGCAGCTATGTGAGCGCGCGAAATTTGACAGGTCCTTTTCCGCACGAGTGCACCGGCTTTGCTGCTCCATTCGTGGGTAGTCATTCAGCAAAATGCCATGGAGTTGTGATTGGAAGATCATGGTGTAGTTGTTTCTTTCGTTGTTGTTGGCCTTTAGGGAAGTGCTGTTGATCCTGTCTCGTCATTCTTGTAGTGTCGGCAGTCGACTCAGTCAATTAACCGATCTGTTAAGAGCAAACACGTCGAGATTTGATAATCTTTAAATCCCCTTCCATAACCACTTCAGTGTGTGCAAGTCGATTCGCATTCAACGCTGACAACTAGGCCCAGATGACCGAAGCAGCCATGGCAGACGCTTCCGCTATCCAGTCCATACTCGATAGTATTTTAGCTTCGCCCGGGATGATCACTTCGAACCTGACCAGCTCGGTGCAGATCGAAGCGGGGCCTACCGTCATCTCAGCAACATCTATGACAGCTCCAGACGACGACGAGCGGCCCGACCACAGCTACATGGATCTGATCGTCATGGCTTTGAACAGCATGCCGGAAAGACAGGGCACCCTGCATGATATCTACCGCTTCATCTCCGGCAAGTTCCCGTTCTACACCAAGAATCGCAAACACTGGAAGAACTCGGTCCGGCACAATCTGGCCCTGCACAAGTGTTTCAAGAGACTGGACACTGACGGTGAGAACTATTTAAAGCCGCTGCTCGAAGGAAAGAAACCGAAGGTCTGTCCGCTGTGGTCCCTCCTCTGGGACCCTGCCGAGCGTCCAGACCTACACAACTCTCGCAAACGTCACGGTGATAAAAGTAAAAGCAGCTCAAAGAAGAGGAAGGGTCTGTCCGAGGAAGCCAGTAAATCATCATCGGCAAAGAAGAGTAAACAGACTACTGTTCCATCGGACAACCCTCTTCCTGCCAGCCAGACACCCACTGATGACCCCCTCACCAGGATAGCGATGATGTTGCCAGAGATTGGCTCAAGTGATGCAGTGTCATCATCACCTCCATCGGCATCATCGTCCCTCCACCGAGGACTTGTTCAACCTCCACAGACCCCCGAATCCGACTACTGCAGCCTTTCCTCCGACTACAGCCCTTACATCCCGGGACAATCTCTCTCCGCCGGCAGCACCTGCCACAGTGTCTCCGAGTACCAAGAAATCTGCATCCCATCCCCCCGAGGCCAGGCCGCCCCGGGGGCCCAGTTCCCCCCGCTGCCGCTTCTGAGCGTGGAAGACATCTGTACCGTTCTGCAATGCAACGACCTTCTTCCCAGGAGCCCTGACAGCGGTACCGGAGCAGAAATCCTGGAGGGCTTTGGGTGGTTTGACGAGCCTGCCCCCGGCGACCACCAGCAGCAATTCACGTACGAGTACCACCCACAGTACCCAGCAGATTCCTTGTTCGACAACACAATGCAGAACATGGACGCTCCAAGCTTCCAGCCCGAGCCTCCGGCCGTTTGCTTCCTCATACCCAAGGTTCCAGTGCAGCGACCCTTGTCTGTGAACACTGACTTTCCTTGGTGATTAACATTTAATTTTTGTGAATGAAATTGCCACATTTGCCACAACTTCCAGTGTGTACTCCTAGATGATAGCAATTAGTTTTGTTGAAACTGTCACTTGTTTAACGAACCATACCGCAGAACTTAACTCGGTGTTTTTGTTTTTGAATTATTTTTATGCATTTACGAACCTTTCCCCTTGCCAAACAGAAATACCAGCTACATATGCGTTCTTCTTTTCATTGTATTTAAATTTAATGCATGCTCATAGCGTTCACACACATTATTGTCTAACTCTTGTTATAATTTACAGATGTTGTCCATCTGTCATTGGCATAATCCTACATGTTCATGTCAGCCTTTTGAGAGGTTCCTATTTCGATTTTTATGCGATTTTTTTTATCGATGCGAGTTTCTTTCCCCCGGTACATTTTCATGCCAGAATCTATGCTTCTTCGTGTTCCACACCATTATTGTTAAATTTATCGTGCAGACTTAACAAGATGATTTAATGGTTGATGACCATTCCAAAATGTGATGTTCATTTATTTTATCTTCTGTGTGCGTCATTCATTTGTGTTTCTCGTTGCTTTGGGTTATCTGTTAGGCAATTTTCCCCTCACATCAACAACTTCCGTGTCACAACCGCCGCCCTTCAGCTGGGAAACTAAAGTAGAAAACTCGTTGAGGTCAGAAGGAATAGGGAAAACACGCACATTCGATACAAAAGTAACATTAACAATTGAGAGGAAGAAAACAAAAGGACCGAGGTTCAACAGAGCATCCCTTGACCACTACCCCGATTAAAAGTGAAATAAAATCAAAGCACCGCAGTAATGCACTTCGTAGTGGTTCTCCCAAAATTTTAAGTGGAGGTTAAAACTGAACGTAAATTTACTGCATGTAAATTTCAGATCTACACACGTTGCAGATCTAGCTGGTAGAGTAAGTGCATCATGAATAGCGCCCCCAATGTCAATGATATGTCAAACATTCCACGCTGTTTTGAAGGTATTTATTTTTCAAGGATTTTGTCGACTAATTAAATTTCGGTAACGGAGATTAATAATCAATAGATTCGCAGAAACACTCCCTCATCGGTTGAATAGAGCCAGGTTGGTAGGGATTGTTAATTTTGCTGGTAACAGTGACGCGACCATAACAAGAGCATTAATTCGATCGTTGCCCAGCGCGGAAACAGGGAGCTGGGAAGGGCTGATGGGTGCACTGCCCAATTCAAGGGAAATTCTTCGGCAGGCTGAGGCGCTCAAAAAGTACCAAAAAGTGCAGTTTATTTGGAAAAGAGGAGATTGTGTGGCCCAAGAATTTGTGGGATTGTTAAAGAATGGCCCAGACTGAACTCCCTAGATTCAAGGGCTCCCATCCCAGGGCGAAGCATAGAAAAATGCCACTGAAAAATTGTCCCAAGAGCCTGAAAAGGTGGAGGGATGTCATTTGAAAAATGGCCGCTGACAGACTTGGGAACGTTCACTTTTTGGAAGGTGAGTTTGTTTTGGGTGGATAATTAAAAATTTCATTGGTTAACCTACTAAAAATTGAAAATCAAATGAGAGCTGAATGACCCCAGAACACTTTGTTTTTTGTTTGAGAGGCCTGAGGTACTTCGGTTGCCCGCACCGGGGCTGCAAACTTGGTCGATTTTACATTGTCTTCAATGGGGCTTCAATTAGTTCAGTGCACCCTGATGGCCTTGCACGGAGTTTAATGAAGGAACTACGTCACACAGGGTCACAACTAACGACGCGCAGCCTGAGCATTGTGGGTAAATTTCTGCCAGGCGCGCGAGAATGCACAATGTGGCGGTTATCAATTCGATACTTTTTTTCTTTTTCTTCCTCATTACAGAAAATATTCTCACTACACTTTATTAGTTCATCCAAAATTGATGAAGTTAACCAATGATTTGAAATACATCGCCAAAAGGCACTTTATCAGTGATACTTGGGGAGGAGATAAATTACCGTCATTGTGTCAAGGCCATGTTTTATTATATTAGCCGGTGCTATTGACTAAGCAAATACTTCGACAACGCCTCGCTAACAGGAAGTTATAACCTTACAGTCAGAGGTCACGCACAAAGTAGCCAATCACAGTGCAAAGGCATTAGCCCTTCCCAGCGGCCCTGTTCAGGCGCTGGACGACGAGCAAAGAGCATTCATCGCTCGTGCACCAGCGAAGTGCAGTTTCGACCAAGGAGCAATCATTGATAGGAAAATGTCGTCCCCTTGATTCAGCTCAGGGCTCATACTGTTTGTGAAAGGCCATGCCGACGCTTTAAATTTCCAAGTAAAGAAAAAACCCATGGCGATATGCTTAAGGGAGGGGACAATTTGCCAATGGAAGTACCGTTTTTAAAGTGTTTTTGCTTCCTGAAAAAAAAAGAGCAATTGGGCAACATGTTGGTCGATGCCGGGAGGGGGGTGGATGGAACTTTCTGCCCTACCCAGTGGCTTAAAGGGGGGGGGGTGTGACTTGCCCGGCAATGGAAATTTGAAAAGTCGGGGGGCAGTACATAATTAAGGCTAAATTGGGGGGGGGGCTGGGGGTGCACACATTTTTTAAACGGGGTACCACAAGAAACTAAGCTGTAACTGCATTTGAACGGAGATTATTCATATATTTCAAATGGGGACACCTGGGGAGGGAGGCATGGGCATCCGCTGGGGTGACCTGTTCCCCACCCCTGTAGTTACGCCACTGCCAGGGGGTGGGGTGACACTATGAATATTGATGTACAGCCTCATCTCGACTTGAAACACTGGGGACGATGATTTAATAGCTCGTCACCCGGTAGTGGTGTAACTAGGGGGGGGCACGTGCCCCACGCTGGTGCCCCCTCCCCCATTTTAAATCAATTAACAACCTCTGCTGCAGCTCATTGTCTTTTGGTGCCCTCTTGAAAAACTTGTGTTCACCCCCCGGATACCCCGGACACAATAGCCATAGTTATGCCACTCTGCACCCTGGTCAAAAAGTGGGGGGGGGGTGATGTAAACCCCCACCCCGGCTTGAAGCCTAGTGATCCATAAATGAGTATGCTGCCGGTCAGTAAAAGGCATTACCCCCACCTCTGGAATAGTAAAAAGCCGATCTGCATTTGCCAAAGAACAGGACAAAATGTTTCTTATATCATGGATGGAGGAAGCAGGACACCGTCTGGTGGCAGCCCAGTATATATGTGCCACAGTATATGTGACTATGGCATAATAATAATAACAGTCAGTTCTTATATAGCGCGTTATTACGGAATGTCGCTATCCGCTTAAGCACACGCTAAGAGAAATATGCAGTAAATGAAAATCATTTGAAACTTGAAACCCAGCGCCAATGCACCATCATCACTGCAGGTCGCAAATTGAGTACAGTCTGTCCTCCCCACCCCAAAACATGCGCAACATGATTGCCCGACGGAGTCCAGTTCTTAAAAACTAAACAGCCCCGTGTGCTTATCCTCGAGGCCCCCCAGTAGATCAAATAAAGTTCGGTGCTCTTCAGCTTTAGTACAACGTGCCAAATTTGTTTCAACAGTGCATGCCACGAGTAACGATTTAATTAATTGTACATGTAACATGTATGGGCATACCAATTGCTGACACGCGGCGTACATTCGATAGGAATCGTCAAAAATTACACGGCAAGCGCATGGGACTATCAACTCGATCAAGACAAAACCAACAAAGGGTGTGTGTAAACAGGACTGACTCACCTAACAGCACACGTGATTATAGCGGTCATTGTAAAACACCCGCGGTACAATGCCTTATATGGATAAAATTTATCCTGCATATTAAGCCCCTCGCATGTGTTGTGAAACTTCTACATAACATCATTTTGAGCGAATTGCGTCTCCATGAAAAGCCGACACGGGACAACTAGTAAAAATGACTTGAAGCTTTCACGGACAGGACGTTGAATTTTGACCTTATTCCGATTCGGAATTCAACAGCGGAGCTTTGTATTGTAGCCATTGCATGCACACTGTGGGCCGTAAGTATGGAAAGAAAAAGAGGAAACACTTTCTTGGTACTGTACTAAATAATTCGGTGAACTATTCCTAAAGAAAACAAAAGAAAGCGACCGGAAAAAACCAACTAGGTCTTACCGAGATTTGAACTCGGATCGCTGGATTCAAAGTCCAGAGTGCTAACCATTACACCATAAGACCGATTGATAAATCGCAAGAATCAAGAAAATAATATACCTTGGATCTTAATTAATACCCTTTTAAGCTGTATTTTATTACTTTTATGATTGAAATGGCAAAAGAATTTTTTGAAAGACATTTTTTTACTGAAAATAACAACTACTGCAGGTTTGGAACCAGTAAATATAACTTTTTAACACACTTTGAATATGAGGGCGCGCTAATTAAAAGCTGGTACCCTCCTCGCATCACATCATAGCAAATAGTCTTACAGCTAAGATTTGGCACCAGACTGTACCGATTCCTGTGCACTGTGTGTGTGCGACAACGACGTCGAAGTTTTCAGAGGTACATGTACCACCAAAATAGGCTAAGGCTACATGAAGATTTCTTTTGAAGATTTCAGAAATAAATGTATTGTTTGAACTGATGGGGAAAAGTCGAGTCTGTGAGAATAAATGTGAGTATATTATCCATATCGTAATGACACATTTTCTGTCAATCAGCGTGAAGAAATGCCAATAGTTTCTTCCTTACCATTCGCTCATGCACTGCATCATCACGTACTACGTTGGCCTTCGGACATGCCTGTCTCGCAGTCGTAGTGAGCCGGGCCCGCATGCATTTTGTGCATACATTAAGCTGGCATTGTGTGCACACCGACCGTTTATGGTTTTGTGCCCGAAAAAATGCACAGATTTTACAAGCGTGGGACACCTACTTTCTGAACCGTAAGGCATTAGCCTGCGCTTAGTAATATTATTAGTGGGTCCATTGTCAGATTGTTTTGATGGTCCCGTGCACTAGACCCATAGCATTTTGAAAAGCACAGTGGCTATTGTTAAGTTGTTACGGCAGCTGTAACGGATCTCCCATTTCTATCGCTACGGCACTGCAACTGTGCAAGTGCGCCAACTTGAGCACAGATTTCAGACTTTATTTCCCTTTAAAAAAATCCTCCAAAGCCTCCAATGAGAAAAGAAAAAAAAGATTCCTGCTTAGGCCTATACAATTAGAAACCAACATAAAAAACAATTGTGGTATAAAAAAATAAAATAGTCCAAGTGCGGATTCGAACTCACGCACCAGTGGTAGAAACCTTCCACCTTGACCACTCGGCCACAAGCGTTCAGTCAGTCCAGGGAATTTTAAAATACATAAACCATCGTGGTGATCAGCTGTGCCATCGCACTTGTGCAGTCCAGTGCCGTAGCGATAGAAAATGAGAACTGCGTTATGACTGCCGTAACGATAACCACTTTGTTTGAAAAGTGCCCAGCAATCATACCTGAGAAAAAACCACTGTTTGCGCTTTCTGAACCAAATCTTCCCCTAAAACTTTAAAAGCCCTATAATAATAGGTAACTTGTGTGGATCTACGGGCTTGAGTGTATTTTGTACTTTTAAGTTGTAGTGTGTAACCTACATTATTTGCAAAAAATGAGGTTTTTCTACCATCCTGACCTCTCGTCCCAGGACGATCCGAACACATCTGCATTCTCTGTGGCCGTACATCACGTGACAAAACAGGCGAGCGTAACAAATGTTTATGTCGCTTTGGATACCAGACCCAATAATTCCGACTACTCTCGTTAAGGTTATATGTCGCGGAAACTGTGGTCCGGGAACCACACAAGTCACATATCGGCTTGACCATTTTAGAAGTGGGAGGGCAGTGATGTCAGGGCGTGTAGTGTGAAATAGTGATTTGGAAGTGGCGGTACCGCAAATTTGTGCTGGGAACAGGAGTTACTGACAATTTAGGGGGGGGGAGAAATTTCATGAAAATGTGATGAAATCGGTTCATATACTGTGATCGTGTGTCAGCCCTCTCCTCCACTTTTGAAACGACAGTGCTACTGTCACTTAACCATAAGTCTGAGTAATGTGCAAGTCAGGCCAAAATTTGTCTGGAGTGGGGAAAATGCCAACTGAAGGCAACATTTTTTCCTCAAAATGAGGGAAAGGGAGTCTTCAGCAAAGAGCAACCTGGGGGATAGTTAGCCCCGTAAGTAGTGAACATACCGGTGCAATTTCAGCTCAAAGAATAAAGCGGATGTCTCATAATATATTGTCCCCAGACATGCTAGATAAACTTGATCAAAAGAAATCAGTATCAATCGGTCCAGGGTCTGGTTTATCAATGAAAAAGTATACGCAGGGCTCTGTTACAGGTCTAGGTGACACCACCCTAAACCATCGTTGGGGGCCTACTACCAGAATTGTGATGCACACTCTGTGTCCCTCACAATTCAGATTTTCATTGCTTTGAAATGCTACGGGATCCTGACGGTGCCCATTTATTCTGTCTGAAACCGCACCAAAGCGGCGACCAGTCCAATAATGCAACCAGTGGCGTGATGGGTACGATCTTGCTGCGCAGTGTTGGTTCCCCGTGAAGGAATGCGCACATAGCCCATGGAGTCGAGGTTGCCAATGACGCGATGTTTCCTACGCCATTGGACCAGTCGCTGTACCTGTTTTATATGTACAGAGGACTGGGATAGGACGGGAACAAGCCTTCTGTTCAACGGACATGTGCCACAGATTGCAACTCAAATGTGAGGATCATTTATTGAAGAGAGGCAAGATCATTAATGAACGGCCTGAAATTGGCCAAATATTGCTCGTAGACGGTCCAAAAAGCATCGTGACTGTATGGTAATGGGCTATTATTTAGTGTGGACGGCTGTTTTGGGGAAGATTTGAATGAGAAAGTGCAGTTTTAGGCAGAATAAACGGGCACGTTCAGAATCCCTTCGTGTTTGAAAGCACTGAAAATTTGGAATTGTGAAGCACACAGAGAGTGCCTCGCAATTCTTGAAGTAAACCATTGTAAATCGCGTAAACCGTCGAAACTACATGTAAATGTTAACCTTAACAACAGTCCTCAATCATTCAATCACACAATCCTACAATTACATCCTAGGGGTTAAATAATAGGGTTAAGGGACATCATTCGTAAATATGATGAAGGTAAGGCCAAAACGAAATAGTTTGTCTCTGATTAGACTGGCGTTCTGGAATCGATGTGGCCACTTGACACTTTTTTTCCCTCAAAGGTTGGATTGTACAGACAATTGCAAACACATGTTATTGAGTCATGGGACTAGACCACCTTCTTTATGATTATAAGCTGACGACAAAGAACTTCCTATCCATAGTCTGCTATCATTGTTCAACATTGATCTTGTCGGGATCTACTGCCCTGAATAAAAGATTGAGCTGCCTACAAAAATGTTGAAGCAGTGGGACAATAGAGGGCGCTGTTGCAGTTCTCGCAGAGAAAAAACGTTTGTTATGCGTGCTTGAAATCGACGCACGCTGACCAGAGACAAAAGACTTTTGCTCTTTGGCCTAAGATTTAGTCACATTGAATCACTGATTAAGCAAGAGGCTGATCACCATGATTAGTGATTTTCCCTTTTCTGATTCCATTCTCACATTTTTGTCACGATCTCACGATGTCCCTCAAACGCTCACTGGGTATGTTCAGTCATGTCAGTGCCTTGTAAAAAAGCATACAACCTTTTTTTTGGGGGGGGTTTCATTACTGCCTTGCTGGATTTTCTTATTCAGCCAGATTTTTAATGTTTTTGTTTGTGCTTTTGACAGAATGGTTTTCTTGAATTGGGAGATTTTAAGATAAGTTTCTAATAGGAAATCTATTGTCCTGTTCCTTTGCAAGTAAATAGAAAAATAGTTCTTGATTTGTCCTTGAGTTTGTTCTCAACATTCTCTGATATACTTCAGCTCAGATTTGCCTAGAATAGTTTCTAAGAGGACATTGACATGTACAGTAGACTGAAAGAAGATTAAGTTTCAGCTTGATATCTTTAACGTTTGACCGGTTAAACTCTGCCTTTTATGCCTTTTTTGCACCCATGCAAATTGTGCTAACTGTTGGTGGCATCCGTGAAGGCTTACGTATTCTCTTGAAATAGCAATGGAGAGACAAAAATACATGTCGGTGTCTTATCTAAATGTTTCCCATATTTAAAGATTCTTGCAATAAGCATTCTGTCTTTATGAGAAAAGAATAAAACGAGAAGAACACACGTATAAAAAAGGCCCTCAAAAATATGATGGAAACAGATGAGCCATCAAATATTGAAAAGCTCTAACTTTACAACTGTGAGAAATTTCACACTGATACTTGACTTGACTTTGCTTTTTTTGCCAAAGTATTTTTGGAAATTGTTTTCCCGGCAAATCTTAGTCTCATCTGGGAAGTCCATGTATCCTGATGATTTGACCTGGAATGTCCCTAAGGATGGTGAAATTGGAAACAAACCTGAAAACAAAAGTGAAGAATTCTAATTTGTTTTTATGTGGACATTTGAAATGTCATCCGAAGTCTGTATTGTTTCCTTGGATAAGCTGAGAATGTGGGAAAACCATTATTTCTATTTCTTGCTCTTGATTCTGCAGGTTAGTTCTAAGAACGTGTCTGACATCTCGTTGCTTAATCTCAGAGGGCTGAAACACACTCTGGCCAAGTCATTGTGCCGATAATTGAACATGCTGAGCTGAAGGAGTGTTCCATCTTGCCTGCGACTCGCGCAAACCTGCTCTTCACTCTGTTCCAGCCGCGGTGTGTGTTTGTGTCAGCCACCAGCAGTAACGCCCGGTGAAAGAAGGACCTCTGTCTACGCCTCTCTGACGATACCCCCTTCCCTCCTCCCTGCCCTCCCCCAGCTCTTCACCGATTGACTCTGCCGGACGGCGCAGAGATGTCCAAGGGACCGGGCAGGGGTCAGAACCCCCACGGACTCAAGCTGACCAGCTTGGACCAGATTTGGGACGACCTGGAAGCGGGCATTCAGCATGTGTACTCCAAGCATGCGATGCTCAAGAAACGATACATGGAACTCTACACGTATCCTTTGGGAATGAAGTTTGACCAAATAGTTTCCTGCTCTCAATACTTGTTATCCTGTCCGTTTTTTTGTTAACCCTGCAAATCCTGATTCCTCAAGTTTTCATTATAATTTTCTACACGCTCTAACAGGTAAAGGTTAAAGGAAAGTGCTTACAGCAAAGTGCAGCAGTTGTAAAATGTCTGATGGACTCTGTTGCACTGAGCAGTTAACAATGAACTGCTCATGATGAGACAACATGAGCTGACCCCATTAAACAGTGCCACTGTTGGATCCTGTGGTGGCTTTCAACAACAGACTTCAAGGCTGTTTGGGCTTAGGGATAGTTCACCTATTAGATTTGGTTGCACTGGGCAGGCAAGCCACTTTGACAAATGATGCAGACTGTGAGGCAGCGTTTCCAAACACAAATACCCTGGATTGTTAGGTCAATTCTACTGCATTTCATCAACTTTTTCTTTTCATTTCTCGGCTCCTTGGTTCAGTGACTATACGAGTGATGTAACAGTGACTATTCTGAAAAAGGTGTAAATTAGTCCACAGGTTGTCCCAACATTCAAACCGAACCCAAACTGTAAATGTTTAGACCTTTTCTTAACATGCTTAATGCCATTTGCTGTCATCTTTTACTGTGTAGGCCAATACAACAACTCACAAACAGTGCAATATACAATGCATCAGATGCATTTTGACATTTAGGTGTACCTCAGGAAGATGTAAAATATCAATGATCTGTGTTAAATATAGCCTACAGCATGTAGCAGGGAGTTACAAATACATGTGCACTGTATTTTATCATTTTTAAACAGTCCAAAGGCCCATAATATATTTATATAATGGAGTGAAATATTCACTGAATTAATGATGACCCTTCAGTATTCCAGCCAAGTGTTTAATTTCCTTAACCAGCCATCTCTCCCTAGTCATGTGTACAACTACTGCACAAATGTTCACCAGCTACAGCAGTCTCGGAGCTCATCGGCCAAGAACAAGAAAGGCTCCACCCAGGGCGGAGCACAGTTTGTGGGTCTTGAGCTCTACAAGCGGCTGAAGGACTTCCTCAAGACGTACCTAGTCGACCTGCTCAAGGTGTGTGCCAATAAGCCTTTTGTGAGTTAAATTGAAATAAAATTTGGCACACCGAGTTATCTGATTGTGCATAAACAAAACAATTTGAATATTTCTGACTAAAGACACTGTTCGTATACCTCGTGATTTAGGGTAAGTTTTTGCGTAGCGACCACCATTTCTGGAATGGCCTGGTTCCTTTGTGCCCCTCTTATCCAGTGAATGTGTATTTGTGCTAGGCGTCTCTTTTGTAACCAAGCAAAATCTTGCCCCAAATCACGAGGTGTAGCAACAGTGTCTTAAGAATGGAGAATCGAAATTGTTATATTTATGTAAAGAGCTCAGTGTACCAGATTTTATTCAAATTTATGTTGCAACTTAGGGCTCATTGAGACGGGCAATTCCATGGCATGAAAAGTCTGCGAAAGGAAATTGGGAAAGGTAATTTTAACTCGCTCTTTCAGCCGACAAAATTTTCATCAGGCCAATACAAGCTTCTGAACACCAGCCAAGTTTGAGTTCTTGAATCAAACACCAAAGTATCAAGCTTTCGCACCAGAAAAATGAAGACAATATATAGAAAATCACATCCTCCAGCAGTCATTTCATCTTGAAATAATGCTAAAAACCTTGTTTCCCATGCCACAATTTCTTTTATTCAGTGTTTTTTACTATTTGAGGTCTTTGGGCTCTCATTACATAGTGTTAGTTTGTGTCGTCAGTTATATTTCTGATAATTAAAATTTGGTTGTAAATGATATGTAATCAACAACATGCGCCAAATTTTGTTATGAACTACTTGCCTTGAGGAAAGGAAGATTTAATGCCACAGTCTGTTATTGAAATATCCTGTAATTGGATGTTTTGACTTGTTTTTGGTATTTACTTCTGAAAAAGCTTCACAGGAATCTGGTTTTTCTTTCAGTTACAGCACATTTCCTGAGGCTTAACCAGACATTTGACCTCACGTTTCTGACCTATCTTTCGCAGAATTTACTCAACTTGGGTCAAATTGTTTCGGAACTATTTGTAGCACTCAAATTTCCTTGGCATTGTTTTGACTAAACCAGCACGTTTTCGCATTGCATTGCAGGCCAGTTACTTTGGCCAGACCTGAATAGGCGCAAGGCCTAGCATGAGTGTGAGATGGATCTCCGTCTAGTTTAGCTGAAGTAATCCAAACAAAAGCACTGTTACCAAAGAAGATGGAAGACTTGCAGCTGTTAAAATTGATTTATGTAAAATGACATTAATCCACTGTTATTTTGAGCAGACACACAGCACGACAGGCAGTATTTTGACGGTAGATAAGCCTTTGTCAAAGCTTTGATAAAGGACAAAACACCTGCCAAAAATGCAGAGGCAGTACTCAGTGCTAGATTGGCCTTTGATGATCAATTGAAAGTCAATATGTGGTTATTTTATGCAAAAAGAAGCCTCACTGTCTAGATCAGAAGTGTACGACTTTGGGTCGTTGTACAAATGCTTGCCTCCTGCAGTGATGGCTACTATCGGATCTGTGGTACATATTTGAATCCGACACCATACACAAACTCGTCATCAGCAACTCATCCAAAGTTAACCCCAACTACCCTCCCCTCAGGATGGCTCTGACCTGATGGATGAAAGCGTTCTGACCTTCTACACCAGAAAGTGGGAGGACTACCAGTTCTCCAGCAAGGTGCTGGACGGAGTGTGCGCTTACCTCAACCGACACTGGGTGCGGCGGGAGTGTGACGAGGGACGCAAGGGCATCTATGAGATCTACTCGGTAAGCATGTGGCGATGTGGCACGGGGTGCAGCCATTGCAATGGGGGAACGTGGCGATATACCTACTTGGATGGTGGGAACTCAATGCATACATGCACAACTCTGTTAATTGATGTTCATCGTGATGTCACTTTCTGATCGTTTTTTTTTCTCTTTTGAATTTTTTTTTAATGACATATATTATTCTCTAAAAAAGAATTAAAAGAAGGTAATTTAACCATTCTCTTTCACGACCTTTGTAACAATATGATAACGTCACCAAAAATTTTCATTTTAAATGTGTATTAAGATACCAGCAAGTTGATTTTAATTACATATAGTAACCAAAGTTGTAACTAAATGCTCAATATTTTTTACAGCCACTCACTTTTGATGCAGTGCTGAACACAGATCTTTTTCTCACCGGTCATGCCGGTTGGTCAGTGCCCTAGTCTAAAGTTTCAATATTAATATTCATTTAATAACCATCAATATTCATTAATAAGCAACAGTGGCGATTCACAGCTGGAACCCTGCAACAATATACACAGTGACATACGATCTTCATCTGCTTTTTTCCTTAAAAATTTTGAACATTCTTCAAGCATTCTTTGTTATCTACTGTAATCTGACATTGAATCAAAGCGAAACTTTTGAATGCTATTTTCACTGGAGTCAGCTATGAATGTACGCACATTCACATGTCCGCAAACCAGGCATTTCAGACACACTGCAGTAACTACCTATGATAACACATACATACTATACAACTAATACTGGAGAATCTTAAAAATGAAATACTGTTGTGTTGAAGTTTTCGTTTTAATTCAGCGAAAGGTTGCATCTTTGAATATAATGCATGGCTCACCGACGTCACCACGCTGCATTTGTCTTTATGACATTTTGGAGATCAAGTTTTGTTTGTAGCTATTATGGGTTCAAGCACAAGGCTTTTTATCGATGTTTGCCTCACACAAATTCACCAGTGTGAATGCTTGTAATTGCTCTTGAACCAGTGTGCTTACTGCGGGCTCGCAGGCCAGGTGTGAAACATTTACTTGTGTACCGACCTACTTGTGAAGCACAGATTGTGTGGGTGAAAGCAACACTAAAACCGAGGGTCGACCATCTTGCAAATGAACGGATGGTTGTCGTTTTTGATATTCTCATTGATGGTAAAATCTTTGAAGTATGCCAGTCCGCTGTTGGTGATGGTCATTCCTGTGGATGTAAACAAACGAATTATTTTGAAGAAGTAAGATCGAAAGGAATTTATTACTTTAAGTTTGACATTTCTTTTAACTACAGAACTTGAAAAAAAGAGAGAAAACTCCATTTATTGGTCATGTTTACTGTAATGGGGCTTTGTACTCTAAAATTCAAGAGACCAAATGGTCACAAGAATGCTAGTCCATGTCATCATTCATCATAATGAATTCATTTTGGTACAGTGAGTGCAGTTTTTCAAATCGAAAGTAGGGGCTGTCTTCTTTCTACATCTTCCTTGCACGTACCTTGGTGGATGTGCTGAGAAACATTCACCGAGCCAGAGTTGGCCGTGCAAGTGATGATGTCATCCTCACCGACAAGCCCGCAGTTCTGATCAATCGTCAGTGTCGACTGTATAACGCACTGCGAGAAACTGGTCAGGCTAATCTCAAAGCACCCAGCAGTTGAGTTGCCCAGATCCAGCCGTTGCGCTTCCTCTCTGAGGTACACACTCCAATGAATTGCAGGTCCAGTGGAGGTGCTCGCCGTGCACACGTAGCGAAGGCTGCCCATGTTTTTGTAGGTGTCGTCGATGTAGAGATCACGAACCTTGAGGTCCCAATCTGCAGTGACATGAGAAGAATCAAGATACTTGAGATGTACCGGCACTCATTTTTCTTAATAAGCGCAAGCATGCATGGCCAGTTCATTTCATGCGAGGGCAGGTATGCAGATTCCTATCTTAGAATATAACAGGACAGGAAGCCTTTTAATTTTTGCAAAACTGCGTCACAACATCAACGTATGCACACAGAACAGCTAAAAATGTAAAAGCGCTCTCTGATAATTGGTTGTGTTACCAGCATATACGTCTATGTGCTACTCAGGTCAGCCCTGGAAAGAGTCCATTGTACACAGCCTGTATAAACTGGATGGAACTTTACACTGGAAACTGCACTCACCTAGTGACCCGCATGCGTAGAGGTTGGATATCTGTTCCTGGGAGAGCAGATGATCAAATACCATCAGATTGCTGTAGGCTGCTGTTCCTCCAAATCTTTTAGATGAAGCTGGCGGATTCCCATCACAGGGGTTCATATTCCCTAACAGTAGTCTGGTACATCGGTCATTTGGCGAGCTGGGTGGCTCCCCGCTGCTGGTAGGGGTAAGTTCCCGGCCGTCCAGGTACACCACGACCCAAGTGCCATTCAGTGTAAGACTCACGGTAGCGGCCAGGTGGAACCACCTGTCCATTGGGATCTGGCTTGGGCTGTAGCGCTGGGAGTTCCCTTTACGAATGTGCCGAGCCGCGAATAGAAAATGACCATGTTGGATTTGTTGCACCAAGACAACTCCCCTTCCTCTGTAGGTTTGCCCTCCAACTGACAGATAATACCTGTCAGGATTGAGACTTGCCGAAGAGTTGATCTTGAGCCACAGCGACCACGTCACACTGGCTGAGGTGCACGCATCAGGGTCAGAGACGCAGGTGCCAGCAAAATCGCCCAGGTCGATGAAAGCGCCTTCCCCGGCATAAGTGGAACATTTGTGCTCCACCACTTTAGGGCTGGGAACCATTCTAGAGATGCCGTTGCCCTTCAAAATTGTAACTGAAGGATTGTGGGTATCGCATGATGTCGAGTGACTAATGGGCTCAGTATTTTCGCCGAGTGTGTTGTGGTAAACCATGTTGTAATTTTCTGGAAAGAAGTCGGAAGTTGCAGGAAGATGCGTTAAAACCCTGCACATTGTCTCTGATTTCTCTATTCATATTTTGTTCACAGAAAAGACGAATGCTTGATTTACACATTCTGACAGGCACCTGCTCTCTTTAAGTTTTGACGGTAGCTGTACATGTCCATGTACATATAGGTGTTTTCATGAGTATTAAAACTTACCGAACATGCTGTTAGGCTGCCTGCCTAGCTGGACAAATCCAGCGGCAGTATCCAGCGTTGTTGTTGCATTCAAGATACTTCTGATGTACCTGGCAAGGAACAGAACCTCAGTCGGGGAACTGATCTTTGCCAAACTACTTACTCTACCACTGATAGCACGACACTGGCAGTATTTCTCCGCGTCATGATATGAGAGAGGTCTGGGAAAGTAGCGATAACAGTGACCCTGGTGTTTCAACCATTGAAACGGGCACTGGGGACAGGTGGCCATGTATCCAGTAAACACCGAAATAGTTGCTAAACTGACGACAGTGATTCTTATCATGATGATAAGTGGCAGTTTCTCTGTCTCAAGACTTAATGGGGCAATCACAAGTTATACCAGTAAGCAAAGGCTACCTTCAGATATAAATTGAATCTGAACACGCTCTAGACGGGTAGGATCGCATAACGAACTTAACCCAAAGGGCTGATAGCTATCAACTGATCCGTACCACTACTGCCACATAATTTTGTCTTTGCTGTCATGCTGTTGAGAATGATATTGGCTACGTTTGGTAATCTTGGATCAAATTACTGGGAAGCTACAACCCAGGGCTGCAATGATTAATGAGTTTATTAAACCAACTCTTTTGGCCTTGGTCAAAGTATCCCAAGGATTTTTATTGTTTGGTATATGTGGATGATCGTGGCATTAGATGAATGGTTCATCAACTTGTTGGTTTCACCTTGAGATGTAATTGACTTGAATTGCGAAGCATTGGCCAAATTCAGTTTGGGCTAAATAAATGCAGTAATAATGGTCTAATGGGAAACCGGTATTCAGAGGTTTTGATGAGATATTTAAAGGGGTGCTATGTCTCTATCCTCAAAGTCGAAATGACTCAATCATGCTTCATTGCCTCTTTAATGGGAGGATAAGAGAATGTCATGATTATTGCCATTTATTTATTTACAGAGTTGAGGAAGAAAAGGGTCACAAGGTATAGCCAAGGAAATCTTAGGGCTGTTTTCTGTGGGGGGGGGCTCTTGAGTCATATTTCTGGAGATAAAGCAGGCTCTCTAAATGGAGCATTGAACGTGTGAGTAGCTGTAACTCTTGAAAACTAGGTTGCTCTTCAGTCCTGTATTTGATGGGAGAAATCCATATCACTTTGACAGATATATATTTGCTTCAGTGCAAAAACCGTTGCTCAGTAAATAAGGTCACCGGCCCAAGCTCTCTGTATTTGTCTTGCTAACCAAAATGTACAACTAAATACCATTCAAAACCAACATACATCAGATGGAGTTTAGGCCAGCAACTTTATTTTATTGAGTAACAGTTTTTAACACTCGGGCAAAATTTTTGCTTAAGCAGCTCCATAAAATTGGCCCCTGGTTGCAATAGCCACAGTGTTTAAACCATGTATCCATGCAAACTTGTGCTAATGTATGTACATGTACATGTGTACAGTGTACATATATAAACCTCAGAGGTTTACAAATCTTAAATGTTTACATGCATCAGAGTTGTAATGAGTCACTGATTTTTGTGAGTCGAGTCGAGTCATTTTACAGCAGAGACTCGAGTCGAGTCAAGTCATTTATCTCCAGGGACTCGAGTCGAGTCACCAAAAAATGCAACTCGAGTCGAGTCATTGCTCGAGTCATTACAACTCTGAGTTATGGTTGAATGCTTAAACAGTCTTGCAGTCAGAAGCGTATTCAGTTATTGGGCCCAGGAAGGAGGATGAACTGAATTGTTTTTCCAAAACCAAATGTCCAATCTTTAAGGTTGCAATTTTCTGAGGCTTCTGTCCAGAGGACTGCACAGCTAATCAATTGAAACTTGGCTGTAGGCAGGAACCAGTGTGGTTAAGAATTGTACTGATGCCTTACTTACATTTTGGCTATGCGTTATAACAGGTACATTCATATTGAAAGGTGTGAAGATTCTATAGAGGTTCAATATGAAGTAACTGCTTACACAGCTATGTGCTTGGCCCTGTGTCAAATTCTTCGTATCTAGTTTACTTTGAAATTTTATTTTGTTTTTAATCTCTTTTCATATTTCTGTCATCGTTGATTTTTTCCCTTCCAGTTGGCTCTAGTGACATGGAGAGAGCACTTATTTCGACCACTCAACAAACAGGTATGTCCTGAGGATGTGCGACTGCAGTTTTGTCTTTGCAGATCTATCACATTTGACAAGAACTTGATATGTAAAGCACCTTAAAGCAACTTTCTAACACCACCTTGAAATACCTCAAACCATGCCCTCATAATCCAACAGGAGCCGTCAGGGAACTCCTTTGGTAGAACCTGTTGCTCTGAGTAGTGGACTTGAGACCATCACTTCCTTAGAGCTGTGGAGTATGGGACAGGTGGCTGGTGTAGAACAACACAAAACCAATTAGGCATTACATGACATCAACTGTGTGAGCTCATGTACATGTATTCTTTATGGGTTTTCAAACTTTTTTTATCCTCACAAGAGAAATTATATCTCTGTTTCTGCACTTTGGGACAGAAACTGCAAGAACTTTTTCCAGGTTTTGTCGGTACTCAAGTCCAGAAACGGATTTCTCGACCAAAAACAGCAGAGAAGAATTTCCAAGAAAAGAGACCATGATAAAACAGACGCTCATAATTCATTTGGAATTCTGTTGTGTCTTGGTCCACAGGTCACAAATGCTGTGTTGAAATTGATTGAGAGGGAGCGACATGGTGAACCAATCAACACAAGACTAGTCAGTGGGGTCATACAGTGTTACGGTAGGTCCCACCTTTGTAATGTCACACCCTTTATGAATATTTACGTATTCCGTTTGCCAATGGCAGGTCGAGTTAAAAGATTAAGTTATGAATACATAAGAGGTACATTTACTTGGGGATGATCCCTGACAAAAGAATCGGCTCTTTGCGGGAACAGAATATGGTATGCTTTTACAAGGATGGTCCTTTGGTAAGAACTCACTGTGCGCCCGCAAAGGTAAGCCCATTTGGGGCTTGATGTGCTGAGTACATGACGCTGTCTATGTTCAAAATGTGCTGGGCACCAAGATGAAATAGGGGTGGGTATGTTGGCCATAGTTCATTTGAAAAGATGTAGACTTGGCTTCCAGACAGGATGACCTATGATTGTTTTGTAACGATTTGATTTCAGCTCTTACGCCGTACGTTACGTCTGGTTTCAATTTTATTTCTGTCTGCGTAGTTGAGCTTGGTCTGAACGAGGACGAGCAGGCGATCCGGGGGCCCACGCTGAGCGTCTACAAGGAGTCCTTTGAGAGTCAATTTCTGTCCGAGACGGAGTGCTTCTACATGACAGAGAGCACCGACTTCCTGCAGCAGAATCCTGTCACAGAATACATGAAGAAGGTTGGTCCGAACTGGTGGTCAGTTTGCATTTAATGCTTCTGATTGGCCCTTACATAGGCACATGAAAGACCTATTGTCAAAATTGGAAAGTTACATCAGGGCGTGCTGATTGCATGCGTGTCAATAACTTAAGTAGCATCACCCATCTCGCTGAACCTTGAGCCCGTGAATTTCAAGAGATGATTGGTCCATGTTTTTTTAAGTTAAATGTGTCTGATTTAGTCTCATTCGATAATGATTCTCTTACTTGTTTGTTAACTGCGCATGTCCTGTTTTTATGGTCATTTGCATGCGTAATGAGGGCCATGGGAATTTGTGCCAGGGAACCAGCTGCTTCATTTCATAAAATTTACGTCTTATTTTCACTTGTTGGAAATAAAGATTCCCAAAATACTTTAATGGTAAGATAAGGCCTTTTCCTAATGTGTTTTGTGAAACTAAAATTGAGAAATAGTACCAGAGTGGTCAAAACTACCAATTTTTGTGAAAAGGTCATTTTGTAAGCGGTAGTTTGTTTAGGTTTTGATGCAGTTTTTGAAGGCTGAAAACAAAGAATTTAAAGTTTTCCTGAAGTGGGCTGTGCTGGAGAAAGGTCTGAAGGGTTTAGATTTGTGGACGGTTTTGTGCTAGATTTTTTTTTCTTCCCGACCGGACGCATTTGGATATCGACCTAACTCAGCCCCGATTCCATTCATCCCACATAATCTTATGGCCTTACTAATGCTAGAATTCAGTGACCCGGAAACAAAAGACGAACACAGAAGTACAGTAACTTAACATGAAGTTTATCATTTAAATCAAGGTCTATCTGTCGTTATAAAATTGCCAGGATAATCTTGAAATTCACGGTATATATCCCCTGTTTTGCATGTACTATACATGCATGAACCACATGAACATGTACACCGGCTCCATCGAAATTCCATGTACATGTATGCCGTGGTACGTGTGCCAGGCCGCACTGTACCGTGCACAATACGTGGCTGGATCACTTTTGGACATGTAAAACACATGTAGATCGCGCTGTGCAGAAGCATCAAATATCACTCACGAAAGTCGAACAAAAAATCTAGCTACATACATAGAACTGATTGTATTGTGTACTTGAGATTCTTGCCTGTCTCACTGTTGCGGAAAAACTTCTCAAATTGAGAAATTTAGTGGAAAACAGACCAAGTGATCGATTGAAAATGGAAATCATTTATCATCTTAGCAACCACTTTGAGGCTAAATTTCATATTTATGTAGCATTTCTTTTCAAGATTCTGTAGTGTTTTATTCAGTCTAAGCCTTCTAGAGCACATACCGGTACAAAGAGTGTCAATGTGATCATTTGTTAACTTTGTTCAAACAAAGTCTTCAAAACAAGAAGGCTCAACAGAGGATTGGCAATTTCCGTATGGTTCACGAGGGTCCGGTCACATTGAATGAGGGTGAAACATACGCATATAAGGCTGAATCAATTTGAATTGTTGAATATTCAATTATTCAACCTTTGATTGGATGGACCATTGGAATATTCAGTTGTACCAAATTCCTGCAAAAGCTAAACAAAAAGTTTACATGTACCTGGTTAAAAACAATTTAACAAAGAAATCTTTAAGGAAAAGTAATTTTTTGCCACGGTGGGCGTAAGCACTCGAATGCAGTTAAGTTCACTCATAACGCCTTAAAATATGCTTTCAGAATGCAATTTTTCAAACACTAATTAATTTTTTTCCTTTCTAAGGAAAAATGTTAAGTTTCACCTCAAAATGTTCGATTTTGAAAGTAAACATCTAAATACAAATGATCAAATATCTAGGTATTTGAATATCAGCACAGTCCAATAACTTGAAAACCCCCACACTTTAGGTGAGATATTGGAAATTTAAAATTTAAATTCCGCAATGTGTGTAAGTGGTATTTTGTCTATCAGGTTTAGGATTTACAGTGTCACAGGCCAGAGTTTAACAACACTGGCAGTTTTTATCATCACCATGGTTTTTTGATGGCTAAAATCATCAGCTGTGACACAATGGCCGGTTCATAATTAATGCAAAAGCAAACGTCAAATATCCGGGCTGTGATTTCTCAACAGTTTAACACTTTCCAACTCAAGCAAATCTCGCTGCAAATGTTTCCCGGTGTCAAATTCCCTTCGCTTTCATTTCGGCTGAAGCATGAACCAGCCTTCACCCTTTCATTGGGAATCGTCTCTTCCTCTTTGTGCGTCAGGCCGAATATCGATTGATGGAGGAAAGACGGAGAGTCCAGGTCTACCTACATGAGAGCACCCATGATGAGCTGGCTAAACGCTGCGAGCGGGTCCTAATTGAGAAGCACCTGGACATCTTCCATGCTGAGTTCCAGAACCTACTAGATGCGGACAAGAACGAAGGTAGGTTCTCCTGAGAACGCTCACCCATAAGGTTCAGTCTGCTACTGCCCTTCTGGGTTTGAGAAGCAATTTGACAAATGATTCATCTAGCTTAGAGGACATAAGGGAATGTCTCTAAAGACGAAAGCCAACGAACCTTTCAAGCAGAGCGTTGCTTGTTGCCATTGGGACACCCACTGTTCTGTCTTAGAGCAGTGTGTGCATGGTAACTCGTCTGGCATGCTCAGAAATACATTGTACACAGTCTTCCACAAAGGAGCATTCCAGTGGGAACAGCAACGTTGCAACATTTTCGAGGCATTCCTTAAACAAAGGAGGGTTGTTAGTGCGCGGTATATCCTCACGTGATAACCATTTTTTGGTTTTGTTTGGTTTTTACTGGTATGCAACTTACATGCTGGCTACCAAAGCTGAAGAGTGCCCTCCTTTGTAAAGTTTGAAAATTTACCTGTAAACACTTCGGTGTCATTCCCGATGGGCATAACGACTTCTTACTGATTTCTGTTTATGAAGACAAAGATATGCGGTGCACATGGACATGCTGTGTAGATGTGAAACCATGAGGTAGTTGCTACCCAGCCAAGATCAGTGTCCACTTTCCTGTGTTAGTCCATAGGGCCATTGTCATAAAGCTTCATATGAAGAACACGACAGTGGAAATCCTCCACTCTTGGGTTCATTTCTCGCAACAGCTAAGTTTTTTTGGCATATCGGGGCTCAGCCATACTTAATGTCTTTGTTCTCTCTGGTTTTTTTTTCTGGACTTGCAGACCTAGCGAGAATGTACAGTCTGGTGTCCCGTGTCCCCAATGGTCTGAATGAGCTGATGACACTACTAGAGCAGCATATCTACAACCAAGGCCTCTCAGCCATTGAAAAATGCGGCGACGCTGCATTATCGGTGAGTCCTCAGGACCAAGTAGCCGTTACCCTCTAGACCATGGTCACAGCAGTGGACCATTTCCCGTAAGAATTAAGCTAGTCACATCTTGATATGATGATACGATCGATTGGAACGAGATGTGATTGGTAGGTTTCTCTTTTGTACTTAACCTTTGCAGCCAAATGTGCAATTGTTCAACTTGTTTTTTTCCTCTACCCAAGCCCATCTAAACAGGTGACAAATCCATTTTAGGCATGTCTGATTTGAGACCTGAACCACTTAGCGTTGGATGATAAGTAAACTTCCGCAGAGATTCCCTACGTTCATAACAACGGATGTATGACATTTATATTTAATCCCCACGCTTGAGTGATTCCCCCGTGATTAAAGTTCATAACGTACACAGAGGCTGGAACTAGTCCCTGGAGGTTGAGTGTGTGCGGAGCCCTCAAGCGCCCACGGGCTGCTCATGGAGAGCACACTTGTTATGGAGATCACACTTGTCAAGGATTTCGTGCTTCCGTAGCAAATTGTCTGTTTGGCCTGAAGTGTGGGCCAGGTGGCAAGAGTCGTTGCTTTGTTACCCAGGTTGTAAAAGCGAAGCAAAATCTCCCGTTATTGAACAGAATTTGCATTTCCGAAAACGAATTTAAGTCACTACTCAAAACTCACCTGTTTCATTAATTGCTTTATTTCATAATATTACTGTGAAGCGCATCGAGATGTGCTATGTGATGCGCTATATAAGAAATGTGTTATTATTATTCTCACGCCGAATTCATGTCAAATGTAAAAAATAAACTCAAGTTTCTAATTGGGATTAATTGGTTTCTCTCGTGTTGCAGGACCCCAAAATGTATGTGCAGACAATTCTTGATGTGCACAGGAAATACAATGCCTTAGTGTTGACGTCGTTCACCAACGACTCTGGCTTTGTAGCCGCCCTTGATAAGGTGAGAATACTGCAAAAGTGGAATCTTACACAGTTCACTTTATTATGAATGCGTGCACAATTCGGTAGTGGCAAAACTGTGGAGCGTCAACTCTGTTGATTGACACCACGAGCGATTTCAGGTGTTCAGGATTGTTCAGGCCGTGCTGTGTTCTCACATGTTTGAGGTTTCGAGAAACTAGGAACAGAGAGCCACTGCAGGATTAATAATAACCCTTCCCTTTTTTAGCATCAATTCTTTACTTTAATACATGAATCGTTTGGCTTTGTTGGCCCACAAGTGTAATCTGTGTACCTGATGAGTCAATTAGTGTCTTGACTATATTTGATTTATCTAATTGATTAATCAAAAACAGCTCTGTGAAAATAGAGGTTGCCTTTCAGGACACACCAAAAATGACCCAAATTCCTTAAACCCCAAATCTTAAGCATTCCATGCTAAAACCTTGTCAAAAATAAACTTTGACAGACCCATTCGGTTCAATGTTAGAGGAAGATGGTATACATTGCCAAAAATAGTTCCTTCTGCTTTTTTATCAGCATTAACCCTAACCCCAAGGGTGTATGTAAAAACATACTGAAATTGGAGGATTTGGGACTGTTAAGGTTAATGAAATCTGAAGTAAATCAGCCATTCAGTTAATCAAAACTGTCGACAAGAAGGAAATGATGAATCAGTCCGAAAAAACATTGAAACTTCAAGGACTGTAGCTTTGGTAATTATTTTACTTCTGTTGTCTCATTCCAGGCCTGTGGGCGGTTCATTAACAGCAACGCCGTGACTAAGATGGCCAACTCCTCCAGCAAGTCCCCCGAGCTGCTGGCCAAGTACTGCGACTCACTTCTCAAGAAGAGCTCCAAGAACCCCGAAGAGGCAGAGCTTGAAGACACTCTCAACCAAGTGGTGAGTACTCCACTATTCCACCGAGTGTCATCCGATTACGCCCATTATCCTTGACCCTCGGGGCTATCGACAAGATGCCCTGCCAGAACCCATCAATTCGCATCGTTTGTCATTTTCGATTGCCGTCAATTGTTCCCAAGTGCCAAATGGGTCATTCTTTGAATTTCGGAATTGACAACGGATAATCTAGGAACAGAAAGAAACAGCCAAACAATCCCAGACAGGCTTTGTCCAACTTCGTCAGGCTTCTTTCTGCTGGTCAATAAATTCTTAATTATCCCTCTCGGCCCCTGCGTTGAACTGAGCTGTATGTAAGAGAAGTTGGAGGACATTTCATATGTTTCTTTCCTCCTTGCCGTCGCAGATGGTGGTGTTCAAATACATTGATGACAAGGATGTGTTTCAGAAGTTTTACTCCAAGATGCTGGCCAAGCGACTGGTGCATCACAACTCGGCCAGTGATGATGCGGAAGCCAGCATGATCTCCAAACTCAAGGCAAGCAAACCAATTCTGCCAAAGCTCCTCTCCTTGCTCTCCGCTCCGCATTTATCCTGAAATGTTAAATCTAGGTGGGGACCGTCGCAACACCTTATCTCGGATACATTACTTTTACTGGTCTGGACTGGTCACTTTTGTCCAGTCTGTGAACGGGTCTCTGCAGCACCGTGCGTGCAGGATATCTGCTTCATGCAGGAACAGAAGATGGCGCACTTTTAAGACAGCAATGACGTCCCAACGTCATAGGTGGGGAAATACTGTGCATGTTCAGATTTCACACGTTTGCACGCACACCCATCTTCCATTAAACTATACACCCAATTTCTGTTTCCATCTTTGTTGCATGTGCCCTGTGTGTTAAAGGAAATTCCCCAACTAGTCTGTCTTTTCTCCTATTTGTTGGTGAGCCGGTGGTTGTGGTCACAGTGGCCATGGCTTCTTATAGGGTCCATGAAGACCTCCGTGGACAAACTGTTAATTAATTGTTTAAAGTATTCACTAGTATGCCAGTTACACAATAGGGGATGTAAAAATGGAATACATTTCCCTTTGTTATGGTTAAATTTGACTGACCCCCTCAAATGAATGTTTTAATCCTGATAAATGATGGCCTTATGTGTGACGTACATGGGAGAACCCACAATTATAGTCAGGCACCCTTTGGTACGTCTGGAACGGAGAGGAACGTGGACATTGGACACGCACAACTTCCATGCCCGAGGAATGTTAGATCGTAAAAATATGTACATGTACATATTTACGATGCATACGCCCTGTTAAAGTATGTGCATATGCGGTACGACCACCGTATGGGAAATTACAAATGAGTATATTGAGCGGAATAGCTGCCAAACCAATTAGGAAGCATTTCTCACCCTTTGTCGTTTGCGTTTCATGGAAGCTCCTCCTCTCTGGTCACTGGCTTTCTTTGATTTTCCCGAAGATCGTGGGCGCAGTGTCTGACTTCAGCAATTGTTTAACTTAATCCCAACGAATCATACATGTTTGGAAGAAAGCACTGTGGCCAGAAATGTGCACTACACAGTTTGTAGCTCGCTGTCAGTCCTGACAATTTGGCTCTAGTCAGCCTGACATTCAATTTCCAAATTCATCTAAATTTTGCTTCGATTGGAAAGTTATGCAGGCTTGTCCGATCTTTATAGGTGTTAGAGGCTGCAGCAACAAATCAGGTGAGCATGATCTCTAAACTCATCCAAAAAAATGGACAGAATTTTCCAAACTCGACCCAAGACAAGCATTGATGCGCTAGCAGGGCCCGACAATGTCTTTTCAGATGTATGTCACAGATATGCAAATTTTCTATGTTAATGAGATACCTTTCAGGGGCTGGGCCATTTTGCCAAAAATTTGTTTTAATTTTGTTCTCCCACTCTTTAATCAAAACGACAACTGGATATCGTTTTGTAAAAACGTAACAGTTCTCAATTATAAGCGATAAAGACCACTTTTCATTGGCCCTGTATATATTTACATGTATATACACCCCCTGTCTGGTGCTGACTCGGGGCAGGTGTAACTACATGGCTAATGGTTTCAAAGGTAGGTGTATTCCTTATTTGGTAAGGATTGCATCCCTGTCTCTTTTCCAAGGCAGCTAAGCTCTGACTATTTCAAGGGTACTCTTCATTTATGATTATAGTGCTATTCAAAGGGAAGTTCCCTATAACCCTCCCCCCTTCCAAATATTTTTGTATCAGATGTGTCAGATCAGATTTGTCAGATTTGTATCGGATCAGAATTAAGTACCGTGCCCTTTGGTCACAAGTCTGTTACAATAAGCTTTCTGTAGATCAAATCCTTCATAATTCTGAACTGTTGTCTGACCCACAGCAAGCTTGCGGCTTTGAGTACACCTCCAAGCTGCAGCGGATGTTCCAGGACATCGGCGTCAGTAAGGACCTGAATGAACAGTTTAAGGCACACCTGTCCAGCAGCGAGCCCCTGGACATTGACTTCAGCATCCAGGTCCTGTGCTCGGGCTCCTGGCCGTTCCAGCAGGGCTGCACCTTCAACATGCCCAGCGAGGTGAGATTGGCTCAGTATTGCCGGGGAGGTATTGTATCGAGAGGTTTGTTAGGTTATTAAGACCTCACAAGGCTTTCTCATTCAGCTCTGCAGCACTCATGTTTTTGTCTGCTGGATTTTTTAAAAATTGACTTGAATTTTCCCTGGAAATGACACTAAAGGATCCTCCAAAGTGCTGTCAGTGTACTTTGACAGCCCAAAGAATCCTAGAGACAGTACATGTGGAAGAAATTATTTGGTTCTCGACCTGGATCAGTATTTCCAAGAAAACCCCTCATAATCTGGTATTTCACTGAACATGTTTCTGCCTTGGTGGCATGGGTTTGATTTGAAACCAGCTTGCAGTTGCAAAAGGTGAGGAAAGTCACCATGCCCACTGTGCTAACCCAAATGCCATGTTGCATTGCAAACTAAGCTTGACAGTAAACACAAAGCACGGGAACGGTAGATACCTTCACATTGCCTTTTATATAGGCCGGCTGGTCATCTTGATGAGATTCTTGCAATGTTGCAATGATAAATGGCCCCTGTTCCCATTAAAGATGCCCTTCTACCTATGTGTTTAAAGCTGCTAATTAAAGAAACATAGTGAAAACAGAAAATAGTTGCTTGGGAAAGTAGGATACCAGCCCAAAACTGTCATGCATCGTATACTCAATGCAATGGGTCCCCATATGAACATTGCTCAGTGTACAAGTTTGCCGAGGAATTGGACCCTCTATGGGTGTGTTTGAGCGAGCCACTCGTGTTAGCACAAGTATACTTCTGAGCACTCAAATGGCTGGAGTACGACCTGCGGATCAGCGAGAGTATACTCTCGCTGGAGGGGAAGTACACTCCTGTACCCGAGTGTAATGCGCAAGCATCCTACCCGTGTTAACAGAAGTAACCGCGTGAACGCATCCTGTATTATTGTTGATGTGGCAGACCTAAGACGCAGCTGTTGTCTAAAGGCTCATGGTATCGGCCAATTGCGAAATGTGCTACTGACACAGTGTATTGATTATCCCCACCCAGTTGGAGCGTAGCTTTCAGCGATTCACCACGTTCTATGCAAGTCAACATAGCGGGAGGAAGCTCATGTGGGTCTTCCAGATGTCCAAAGGGGAGCTGGTCACAAACTGTTTCAAGAATAGATACACGCTACAGGTAAATTGATTGGGGAAGTTTTACTTTACATAACTGTACTCTTGTGAAAATATGTGTTCCGAGCTTTCAAGAAAACTTTCTCGCCTTGACTTCCTTGTGTAGGCGTCGACGTTTCAGATGGCCGTGTTGCTACAGTTCAACGTGTCCGATGCGTACACGATACAGCAACTACAGGAGAACACACAAATTAAAATGGTAGGCATCCTCAAAGATTGAGAGAGTAGGACTTCATAGTCCCCCCCCCACTATGCAAATCTCTGCTCTTTGCCCACTCAGTTATGTAAGGTTTTGCTTGAAGGTGGCAGTGTTTCACGATAGTGCGCTGCCAAGAAATTGCTACACGGTGGTCACTGTACGCAATGCGCGTTTGAATGGGTCGACACATCATGACGTGTCGACTAGCAGTGCATGTTCAGAAAGGGTCGACACATTTTGCGCATTGTGATTGTCCAACACGTTGCAAACTCAGGGTGGCACACTATTGTGAAAAACGCCCGTATTAATGGAAATCTCCAGAGTCATGGAACTCCACTGAAATGTTTTCGGTCTTAAAACTTGATCAAAAGATTCTCCAGGACAAAAAAGGGTCAGTGCAGTGGACTACCAGTAGATGGAAGAAATATCTTTTTCTTGATCAACCCAACACTGCTACATGTATCTGGTGTGTTGAGTCCGGAGTGTTATATTCACATGTACCTTTTTTCCTTTTTTTCCTGAACCTATTTTTTCCGTTTTTATTTGTCAACAGGACATGCTTCTTCAGGTCGTTCAGATTCTAGTCAAATGTAAACTGTTGGTAAGTATGGAAAACTGGTTTGTTTGCTTCTGGTGTTAAGACTGTAGATTTTACAACATAAAGACAGCTCGTCGGCAGGTTACTGGGCTTAAAAGGGTATATACAGATATGAGGAGACGCCATTAGTGCAAGGCCATCAAACTCACGCACAGGTGTAAACTTGAGTGCGTCTATGCATTTTGGCCAAGTCGAAACACCCTGTTGGTATAAGAGAGATGTAGCAGGTGCGTACCACCTGCTTACGAGCAGGATGGCCCCACTGTAATGGCCTTCATTCCAGTCGCTGGATTAGTTTGTCTTTGTCCTTTCAATCACTGATTCAACAGGAATGTGAAGAAAGTGAAGAGGACCTCAAACCTTCATCAGAACTCAGGCTGTTTACTGGATATAAAAAGTAAGCATTCCTGAGGTTGTATAGTATTGTGTTTATCAAAGTGTGACGGTCAGATCACGTGATCCAGCCCTTCTCTGATTCTCATTGAAACATACGCTACATTTCTGGGATGCTATCTCAAAATTTTACTCATCTGGAGATCAATATAACTATGCATTTTGCATTGAAAAAGGGTTCTTTAATTTTGATAAAGTGATAAAGGGCAAGCAATACAAGAACATTTCTGTTCAGTTGAAAATATGAAACAAAACCCTATAATGAAGAGTACTTGGGCAAAGAAGAATAATTTACTTGGCCAACTGGGCCTTCAGATGGAGTATGCGACATAACATACAGATGGCGTTGTGCGACGTAACACACAGATGGCGTTGTGCAGAACTCCACAAGAGCACTGGTCAAGTTTGGTAGCAGAAAACACTCTAGAGGGCACTTCTAAAACCTGTGCACAATTACCACGTAATGTTATTACCTGAATAATTGCCTGGAGTGCTTGAGATTAAGTGGAATTCAAAAACACCAAAGGTGAACTTGAATGTAATTGGCATGTGCACATTGCAGTAAGAAGTTGCGCGTCAACATCAACGTTCCGATGAAAGCAGAGCAGAGACAAGAGCAGGAATCCACCCACAAGCACATTGAGGAGGACCGGAAGTTACTCATACAGGTAGGGAGAGCACTGACGGACGTAGGCCACTCCCTGGACTGTCCTGATGGCCTGTGTGCAATAGCACTGTACGACATAGCCACCAATAGAGGGCGTTCACGCACACAGACTCTTGATCCTGAACACAGTCCTGTTAATTTGGTCGACTTCCCCCCCAAAAAAATCTTGGGGAAACTTTGTTCCGTCCAGGCGCTGCCGGATTTGTGGTGATTGCTTTACACATGCATAGCTCTGTATGCATATCACGCGTACACGCACAAGAGCATTCCTGAACATTGCTCAGTATGCATGGTATGGACGCATGTAGTGGCATGCCTGTCTATGCTCAACTTGTAGACCTTGACCTTCGGTATCCACGGAGCAAATGATCTGGACTTTTGTCATTGAGTTAGACTACACCATTACATGTACACGGGGAGAAATTAGAAATAACGGTTGATGAGCTGACGTTCATTTCAAGAGCATGTCAAATTTCAGAGAATTCTAAACGTAGTTGAGTTGCCTGAGAGTAGAATTCTAACCAGGTCTGTGGGCAGCCTCAGTAATGTCTCCCCCACCAACTTAGTAAGGCCTGATCTTGACCCACTGATGCTCATTCAAAATGTTTTATCCCTCTATTGGCCTGTGATGACACGGTTGTTCGTTTGCAAGACTTCCAGTGGTGTTTTTCTCCTGTTGTTCTGTCTCCTTACGCAGGCTGCCATTGTGAGAATAATGAAGATGCGCAAAGCTTTGAGACACCAACAGCTTCTTGGAGAGGTCCTGAACCAGCTCTCCAGTCGGTTCAAGCCCAGAGTGCCTGTCATCAAGGTGAGGCCAGTCCAGAGTCTTGCAGACCCATTGCATTCAGTTTTCACCAGTAAGGGCTCCATTTGTGGCCTTTGCTCTTTGTCTACGTACTTACAACAAAAAGGGGAGCGTCTCAAAGATTTCTTTTTGGATAAATTTGTAACCTGCAGGTGGACCTTCTAATTCCAAAGCTGTAATAATATCACACAGTCTTTCACCTTTTCTTTTCGAGTAGCAAACACTGACTTTTGTGAAAGGCAAGATATTCCAGCCAGCTGTCTAAATACAACTAAATGCCCCCCGCCCTAACTGACTTGGGAGAGCCATTTTAGCAATATTTCCACAGAACTTCTTACCGCAACCTCACATTTTGCAGCACCCTGTGGGTGCCACCACTGAGCGACTAGTGCTGTGTGGTATCTTATGTAAGGAGTCCAGGAAGGAGGTGTTGAGTTTTTGCTCTTGATTCGTACATGCTGGTGATGCTGACAAAGTCTTTGACTGAGTACGCGCAAAGCACGTATAATCCCCAGATGACAGGCTCACAATGAATATTATGCTGAAGGGTCCTTCTTTAACCAGAATGTTATGTAGCTTTAAACTCTGACCTCACGGTTTCTGTAGAGATTCCTTTCAATATTTAGTCAACCTTTAAACTAGTGTCATTCTTTTCAAAGGCTGATGAGCATAGCGATATACATGTATTTCAAAGACAGTTACTGGAGCCTGCAAACATGTTGGTAACACACAAACTTGACTTGGTTTTCATTTCTCTACCTGGTTTCTTGATACAGAAATGCATCGACATCCTAATAGAGAAGGAATACTTGGAAAGAGTGGACGGCGAGAAAGACATGTACAGTTACCTAGCATAGCTCTCCGAGTTAATCCAACCCTAACCCCTTACCCTCACACCTGCGTTGCACCCTTCCACCATAAAGGTACAGGACGTCCAACCTACCGTCAATCACCTCCTTGGAGTTCTCTCATTCTCCCGTTGTGAATGAGATGACTCTCGTTTACGGACGAACCGCAGAATGAGTCCTTTCTAGGGCTGCTGTTGGCAAAGAGCCTCTTCTCTGAAGCCACGACCGGCAGAATAGGCTGGTGAGAACGTTGCCACCTTAGTTTGTCTCTTAATCCATACGGTTGCTTGGAGTACCCTCGGTAGACTTTGAAACCTGACCTGTGAAAGAATCGGGTATAGCTTTCCCTCAACTGTCACTGTACACAGTTGGAATACATTCTTACATCTGCCATTATTTGGGCATTACTAGCATACCTATGCTCTGTCCCCCCCAAAATCAGAACAGTTGCAGAAGTATGCTGGTGCTAGTTCAGTCAAACCTAGGGTTTGTCCATCTTGACCCAAACCCCCTAGGGTGTATGTAAAAATCATATTGAAATCAGAGGATTTGGGACTGTTAGGGGCTATATTGCCAAGCACAATTGATGTGCCGTCACGGATAGTGGCATGTTCACACAAAAGTTTGGTAATGGGATTCCACAGGGGGGCATGCTAAATCGAGTGCGCCTCGTTTCACTCCACACGTTCATCCCCAGCAGGAGAGCGGTGAACCGCTAACGGGCTCTGGAACCCAAGCAATTTTTTCCCCCTGCTTAAACGCATCAGGAATTTTCATCTAGCCCGTTGGCACATGATTGGGTACTGCACCATGAAAATGCCTCAAGTGTGAATAATCAAGGCTGTTTAATTGTTGTTACATCTTCATGGCTGTCACCTTACACCATCTTCTGCTCAACAGAAGAGCCATTCTTTACAGCTTTTGTGTGAAAAGGCCTTTTGTTTAGGAAAAAAAGAAATTGTGTCCAAATTGTTGCCAATTTTCCCACTGTTGACCAGTTTGGATGGACCACCTTGTGCAATTCCATGTATTCCTCCCCAGGATTACAGGGTACCATGGCTAGCCAAAATAAAGAAGTCGATTCTTGGACATGTGATCAGTTGTGATGTACTCCTACTCGCGGCAACAAACAACTGCTTGGTAAAGTTTGATGACAAGGCACAGTCGGAAGTGAAAGGCCGCTTGCGTCGGTTAGCATAGCCACTTTCTGGTGATATGCTGACATGTTTTGGAAATTTTGTTTTGACAGATTGAGGAACCTCCAAAAAGGCAAACTGGCCGGAGAGGGAGGGAAGGGTTATGGTTAGGAAGCCGAGGTGCATGTTAGCACCCAGTGTCGCAAAACATCTGCCCATTTCTCTGACTGCTGCTTCAAGCTAGCAGAATCATTCATGCCTTTGTGAAAACCGCTCTCATTCTTTACAGTTATCTTTTGTGAATTTTTTGGCCTCCTAGTTGATCATTTGAGTATTCAGACTTGCTTAAACCCCATAAAAACAAGTCACGTCATTGCAGGGTTCGGGAGATCAGGTCACAGTGGTACACGTATGTAATGGATCCTTGGCTGCGGCATCATACATATCCCTTATGCCTCTCTGACCTGCCACCTAACGGCCGTGGCTCCTTCCTGTTTAGTTTGGTAATGTCATAATCCACAACGATGTCCGCAGAGCGTCTGAATAGGACATGGCTTGCATCAAAGGTGGCAGACTGCTAAGGATTGTGGGATATGTGATGTAGAGAGGCCATCAGGGATCTGTGCAGAACATTCTCTTGCTTGACACGCACTTACGCTGTATCAGTTCAAACACTACATTTTTCAGCCAAGCCAAGTCTGATGGGAAAGCACCGGTGACCTGGTTCAGGCATTTCTTGTGAAATTTTCAGCCCATCCTCCGTTGTTTTTTTTTTTCAGAAATACACCGTTTTGATTCAGACAGCTTGCTCGTTGTGGCAGTTTTTATATCACCACTGGTTTCGCTTGTGCCTTATGCAAATATCATTTACCTCTGAAACTCTACAGGGAATTGTTTGTTTCATTTAGCATTGCTGTGAAGCCAAGTGTCTCTTGTTCGGGAAGGTGAATGTCTAACTGATTATGAAGACGATATCAAAAGATTGGCCGGTTATTCCTTGCAGAAAATCTATCATTTTCGCAATAGAGAGCAAGATAATTTTTTCAAGTTTTCCCAGGAACAACTCAAATGGAATGCTAGGGCTGGATTTTTTCCCCCAGAAACTTTTGCACTTAATGTATCCGTGGAGACTGACCAATCACAGGTGCAGTTTGACTGACCATTCACTGCGAGTAGTGTATCTTGTGATCTGTCAAAGCATTTGAGTAGACTCCTGTTTTCAACCAAAGCATTCACCTACACCCCTGTCCAATGCAAGGCCAGGTATCATTGCAAAATTTCACTTCATAAATTTCACTGTTGTGGTTTGATTTATTCGCTGGTGCTATTTCTTACGTCATTGTATAAAAAAGTTACATCGTTGGGCAAAAGATAGCATACTATTCAGCGTTGCATTCAAAGATAACCAAACAAAACCTGTATATAAAAGTATGTGTACATCCTATCTTCAGAATTGGCACATGTCAACGTAAGCTGCTAGTCTCAGATGGTATTCCTGATTCTGTATATATTATAAATAAGAAGGTTTTTCACAGTAGACAAAACTTTTCCTACTGACATACCAAACAGTGCAAACAAAATCCAAACATGTGGCCGTACAACGCTGAACGATTCCTTTGCCAGTTTCAATCAATCGCTGCTTCCAGTATTACCACTCAGTAGATAGGCAACTTGCGAAAAATGCAGACTTAAACATTACGTGTGGCTAAGTAATTAATCAGCAAATTCTGAAGGTGGTTAGAATGGGATAATTGATTTGTAATGTCCCTCTCGGTTGAAAATGAACCAAGTGAAAACTTGCGATACCCCCCACAATTCAAAAGTAACTGCTAGCCTCAAAGCACTCCCTTTTTGCTGCATTTTTTTGGACACCTTTGCCCACTCCCCTTCAGGCTAACGTATGCTGAAGTAGCCACATTTTTGCCAGGGGAAAATGAGGTTTTATTTCTATTGGCTGCAATTGAAATTATGGGTGGGATGGCTTTGCCGTGATACAAAATCTGAACATTTACCAGTAATTAGCCTTTGGGATTATGTCGCTAGCCCCCCAAAAATATATCACTGGTCTGGCGGGAGAATGGGGAGGGAAGTATATATCCCTTTCCTTAATGCCAAGACCCCCATCCGTTGCCTGCCCCTAGAACTGTTGGCCTACCTGCTCCCTCTCCGTGACGGGAACCTGGGATATACCCATTCCTAATCAAAATGAAGAACATATCCCCACTGCACCCCGTAAAGCAGAAAGTATGACCAAAGCTACTAGGTGACGCCCCTTGAGAACGCTGACAAGCGCTCTATTGGTCGTTTGACGACATTTGGATTTATTAAAGTCTCGCTAAATTTGGACTTGTGCCCTCAACGTGTCTTAAAATTTTCGACCATCTTTTCCTAGGGGAAATCTCTAGCATGGTTGCACCTTAACATGTGAATTCTGAGTTAATTGAGCAAAGCCATATTTTATACTGGGTGATTTGAGAAGTTGGATTACAGGCAGCGTTTGTAGCAGAAGTACGGGCATTGGATTATAAAGAACGGTATTTAATTTGATTTTGACCTGAGAATGCATTTTTCGTTTTTTCCCTTATTTTTGACAGGTGTTTTTGTTGATATTAGTTACGATTGTAATAATTCTTATTAATATGTGTCATGTAGATGTGTGGAATTGTAAATTCTGCAGTCATATCGCACAGTCTGTATTAAAATTTTGAATGGAAGTTACAAACTTGATGCTCTGTCAAAAGCTGCCTTTTTCTCCATAAAGCCATCAAAATGTTGCTGATCGGAGGCCAGATTGGAGTTTGCTTGTTGGGGTGTTGGGTTATTTGTTTGTTTGTTTGTTTGTTTGTTTGTTTGTTTGTTGGGTTGTTTTTTTGTGTGTGTATTTTGTTTTTGTTGTTTGGTTGTCTGGTTGGGGAAAATGGCTCGCATTTGCAGGCCGGATTTACTTTTAATTTTAGGGTCGCACATTTGAAATCTGCAAGAAAAGCTTGTTGAGTGAGGATTACAACCTGGTTCAAAGATTGCGCCTAATTATGCTATCAAATATCCCGCTATCGTGTCATGGTATGGGTAGACTGTCACATCGATGCGTGCTCGAGTTTGATATCTCAGTGCGAAAAAGAGGGATAAAATGATCAGACTATAACAAACACTGGGCAGTTAATGCATGGTTAAAGGTTGCTGCCTTGGGCGGAAATCCGGGGGGCGGGGGGACGGGGCAAGGCCCCCTCCCATGAATTTGGTATTGGGGGAGACAATGACGAATGCCCCCTCCATGTTTTAAGCAAAACAAAGTACTAAAGAAATCGATGGATCGAGGGTTTTCCCTTTTGAGTTTTTATAAATGGAATAAAACAAACACGGTGTGCACAAAAAAGTGTAAATTGATGTCAACCCCCCCCCGATCGAGGGGAGATTTCCGCCCATGGTTGCTGCAATCAGTTTGTTTTAAAACAAACCTTACTATGCACCTTTACGATTATTAGTTAACCTTATTTTCAACTTTTCCTTTACTATTTCAGAGGGTATTTTACTACCTTTCAGGTTTTTACGCTATTGGATATTTCCATATTCATGAGCAAACTTTGATGTCATCCCAGGAAGAAAACCCCAATGTGGTTTGTTCACAAAAAAGTTCTGCATTTTTGTAGATTTTGCTGAACTCGATTTTTCTCTTCTTTCCTGATTCATTATGTTTTGATAACAATAAGTAGCAAGCATCATTCCCTTTCTCCAACGGTTTCAGTGAGTAACTTCTGGGTTCACATTTTGAACAGAAAAACTGTCTTCCTTAGATATAGATAAGTCATTGTTCACAGCAACAGCGCCCTCAGTTGCCCTGGAAAGCATGGATAATTTAAATTGTTTTTAAAAAGTGCAATTTTCAAATCATTCAACCAAAGAGGATTGTTAAAGAGTTGTATTCATTGCAGAAAAGAACAAAGTTGAAGAATTGTGTCTGAGAAAAATTCATTGCAGCTTCACTTTTTTAAAATGGTATATTGATCCCGTTTCAGTGGCTGAGAGAGCATTCAGTGTGTGAGCACTTTTCGCGTTCAGCAAATACAGTGTGTAGGATCTGACCTGCCACGATTATCTCCTGTGGACTTTTTTTATATCATGGCACTCTGGCTACAATGGATAAGGAAAATTGCTGACAGCAGCAGTTTCGCAACTTCCCAACGGTGATTTTTATCTGTTAATTTTAATAACAAACAGATAACAATCACCGTCGGGAAATATCCTTCCGCGCCCCAAATCCTGCAGCCTAGTGAGTCTACATGTATTTCCATTTTCCTGAATAATTTTACACTGCACTTCACATTTACATGAGCACTGAGGATGTCGGCGTATAAGTTCATGTTTTTATATCATTTTTCAGTAGCAGTGGAGACGCGCTATTTTATTGCCAAATTCTGCAGTGAAGTTTCCACCCTGTAAATAGCATCATTGCCAAAACAATCCGTTGGCGATGGCTTGAAACGTTTTGTCGACGTTTTAGCATGACGTCAATCTTAGAAAATAGTATCCAATGATTTTTCGACAAAACTACCATGTGATCGACATTGACCAATCCCTGTTGAGTAGGGAAGTACAGCAGTTGCATTCTGTACGCACGCACATGCACCATATTTCCAGTTTTCGTCGTCCGTGTGGCTGCACATACACTTCTCAAGGAAATTTGCCGCCTTTTTGCTGAGGGTTTGGTAAGATATATAAAATTGCACGCACTGTCGTTTTATTGTCAGTCTTTGAAATTATCTCTGCCAATTGTCGTATAATTTGGCCAGTATCGAGGAGACGAACCGTGTTGTTTTTGGAACAGCGAACTGGGCCCAAGTTCTGGACCAACTGTTGTAAGATAGGGCCTACATGGTCGAGACGTCAGTGTCTGGCTAATAATATACTTAGGCCTATTAAAATAAGTCACAGAGGAGATGGAGCCAGTGCAGTCATTTTTGGATGAAGAGTGGCCTTTCTCTGCTGGATTTGATGAATTAGATAACAGTCAAATTGAGGATAATCTTGGCATTGAATCGGCTGTTGTAACGTTAGAGACGTCCTCTTCTCAAGCTGATTTCAACACAATTACTCTCGCAAGCCTAAACTCCTGCTGTGCTGACAGGCGTAATAGTAATAATGGTGAGAATTTGTTGAATCTTGATTTTGAAGGTGGTGCTTTCGACTCGTTTGTTGACTTGACAAGTGACACTAGCACCACTTCAAAAGCAACAAGGGAAGAAGCTTTCCGCAGCCCTTCCCCAATGTCAATGACGGCATCCCTGTCTGGGTCTGAACTGTACAGCTCTCCACGTCAATCAGAAATGGACGAGCATGAGGAGACAGATCAAGACTTGTTGGAGTACCTCCTGCAGGACTCTGGTATAAATCAGGAAGAAGGCGAACACCATGAAGACGGTGCAGCTGTGGCTAGAGAGTTGACCAGGTCGAGAAGGCAGACAGCCCTTCGCAGCGCCACCAGCACTAGTTTCAGGGGAGTCAGCAACCAAAGCGGGCCGTGGTGTAAAACCAAGAACAGAAACAACAGTAAAAATGCCATCGCGGCTCGTGAGAATCGGCAGAAGAAAAAGATGTACCTCCACAGTCTAGAAGAGATGAACTCGCAGCTCTCCAAGGAGAACTGTCAGCTGTTAAAAGAGTCTGCCGAGGCGAAGAAGAAAATCAGCGCTTTGGAAGGGGAAGTCCAGTATCTGCGTAAAGTGCTGTTTAACCAGAGTGCCCTCGCTGAGCTGCTGAAGAAGATGAACCAGAGTGAGGTGCGTCTTGGCAACGGCAGCGTCAGCAGTGACAAAAGCCAGCAAGAAGCCTTCTCGTCAAGCAGTGGGGGAGTTTGTCTTCATGTGAACGGAGAGGAAGCTTCCCTGAAGTTGTGTGCCAGTTGTGCCAGGCAAGATCAACCTTGAACTCGGTCTGCCGGTTCCAGACAGACAAAGTACCTGTACACTTATGTAAATAACAGTGTACAAATGTAAGTATGATCAGCTCCCTTTTCAGCTGCAAGATCCAGATGAAACAGCTGAACATGCAGGTGTAGTGGGTGACGACGTCCAGATGCAGTGTGTGTCCCTTTCGCAACTTGCGCATTTGAGATCTGAGGGAGTTTGAGTGAAGACCATTAAGTGATGTCAGCATTCAGCAGATCTGAAAACCATGTGGAGCAGTACTGGGCCAGTGACACTCTGTTTATCCAATTTGAAACTTGTTCAGTACTGTAAATGTACTGTATTGGAATTTTTGAGTGTTTTGTGACAAAGCTATGTACAAAAAAACCTGGCCCGGTATCCGCATTCTCTTTCCACTTTAACAGGAAAAATTGGTGGAACACACTTGTTCTTTCCAGTTGGAATTTAAAGTTGCATTTTCTTAAATGGAAACTTGAAAAAAAGTTGAAAATATGTGGAAAGTTTGACATCACAACTGATAAGCTTCGTTTCAAATTACGTTAATTGTGGTCCGAGTTATTGTCAAATTGAATTTCAAGAAATCTTTTAAGTCTTAATTTCATGTACAGTAACTGAATTTATTTTAAGCTGTTTCAAAGAGAACAAGAAGAAAAATGCGAAATTTCCAAAAGCTTCAAAGTTCTACCCACAGCATTCGTCATGGGCAGTTACAGTTCGTTGTCAACCGGCTATTTTCACACACATCAAAAGGAGTGTGGGTTTGATTATCCTCAAAGTCAAAGGTGTAAATGAAACCTGGCCAGTTGGCAAGATTAACAGTTGGTGAGTTGAGCCAATTGCGCTTTCTTGATAATTTTACTTCTTGCTCGTGCATTTTGATCTACAAGCTACCACAATCATCATAGCATAGAACTGGCAGTGAATCCCAGGTTTGCATTGTCTGCAGTGCATGCATCTGTGTACATATTAATCTAACACATTTAGGTCATTGTCTTTTGTTTACAGGAAAGCGTCAACCTTTTGGTTGATGGCTTGTGAGATCATGCTTATGTTGGCCTGCACCTTTTGCCAACTTAACCAAATCTTTGGTAAGCATCAGTTCGTCAGATTTTCAGCACGAAAAAAGACAGATTTCCTTTATAAAAACACATTTTTTAACATGTTTGTCTTTCCAAAATGGTACTGAAAATATAAGTTTGTGAAATAAAAATGAAACTGTTCGCTGTAAAGTACAGCTTAACAAAACTTCTGAATATAGTGTATTGAGAATATTATCATAAAGAATACTTAAGCAACATTATGATTTGCGCCAGAAAATACACGTACTTCAGAAAAAAAATTAAAATCACACTTTATGTACATATATCTTACATTCCAGTAACCACATGGAGAGTTTGGATTCATTCTTAAAAGTTTTTATGTGGGGGGGCACATTCTTTAAAAGACCAATCCGTAGAAATTAAACAAAAGATGGAGCAATTTCTATTGACGGCCCATTTATTTTTTCCATGCTCGTGAAGCTGGAACTTCAGCCAGAGACTGTCTTGCTTTAAAGAGATGGCAGATACGGGTGTATCTTCCTGGGATACCTTACCATTACATCTCTCTCTAAGACAAAAGGTAGTATTATGTAAAGGTAATGTATAAAATGTGATGTAGTTTGATGTTTTTTTGGGGAGGGGCATGTACGTGTATAAAACAGCTTCGATTTGAACTGAATGTATGTGAACAGATGGCAAGTTTTGGTTAAAAAAAATTTCAAAAATGCAAGATTCAAACGTGGCTGAATTTGTTATTTGTGGACACGATCGATGACTGCAGTTTGAAACAACTCGACATAATGCTTCAGTAGCTCATGACGTCTTAATTTGGCCTTTATTTTGTGTAAAGCATACCCAACCTATGGATGAGAGGTAAAGTGACGCCTGAAACTTGTATCTTTGTTCAGTTCAAAGCTGTAAAGCTTTTTAAGAAAATATCAACTCTTATTGTGCATGATTTGTACTGAACTGTGAATGGTCGGGGATTTATGGGGAAAGGTTGATGTATTTCAAGGTTTGGTTTCATGACCAAACACCAGCGTTGAAGTTCCATGATATCTAATGTCTGTCCACACAATTTAACAAGTGCCTTTCTTTACCAGATCCCCTACCATTTGCATTGTGCATGTATTTGTCTACCACAGTGACATTGGATTGATTGGAGCAAATTATTCAGAGTATTGGCCAAAATAGTCTGCCAAGTTTCACAGCACTGAATAGCTGGACGAGAGCTTTCACTGACTTGCCTTTGAGAGCCAAGCATAATGGGGGCTTGCACTCTTTCGTTGAGGTGCGATCCGCAGGTGAATGGGGTTGGGGTAGGGGTGATATTTAACATATCCTTTTGCTTCTTTGACAGATAGCAGTGGATGCAGCACTTGACAGGATTTTTCAGGTGGAGGTTTGACTGATTTGTTTGCTCCAGCTGAAGATTGGAACCATTAGGAGAAAGTCAGGGATGATACTGGATAGCTTTGTGGTTGTTGCCACATTCACAGTCTAACCAGAATGTGGATGTTCATGTATCTGACTGCTCTTACGCAGTGAAATTGACAGAATCCTGAATCTTTTTGGATTTACTTCTGCCTGATGAAAAATATGCTCTGAACTGAAATTAACCACCCAAAAAATATTTGTGCAGATTGCGCCCATTGGAAGGAATCGTTTGTGTGACTTGGTTTTCATCATATGGCATGCATGTATAACACTTGGACGAATGTAACAATTCATTGCAGTGAAACAAATTTAACCTTTTCCAAAATGTTTGCCAAATATTACAGATCATGTTATCCAATGCCATTGGGAATGTTTCTGTAAGAGATACAAATAATCTTGAAAATCCAATCCATGTATGTTCATGCTCTTGGGAAAGAGGTCAGTGCGGGGTTGCGAGTCTGAAAACATGTATATCGAGAAGGTCGAGAGTCGGGGAACCAAACATGCCAGGCACCCTCAGTGCCAGTTGAATTTGGGTGCTTCTATGAGGTTGAAATCTGGGATCCGAACAGTCCAGGTGCATACATGTACAGTGTACATGCACCTCAATCACACCACATGTATATTCAAGGAACAGCTGAAAGCCCTCATGTAGGGCAATTCTTTTTATTTACCTCTCAGCCCTTGCCGAGGAATGAGTTTCATTTGATTATCAATATGGAGGTTTAATAATATGACCTACTTTAATCAGTCAGGATGTAGTGTTAATACATTCCCCCAAGTACACACATGTATGCATTTGATGACTACCAAGTTGAACTCAAATTTCTTTTTATTCCCTCCCAAGCCAGAGTATCATCCCTGAACTCCACTGACGTGACTCCAAATTGACCCATTTGTCTGCTTTGGGGGAAAAATAAAAATGGCTGATGGCTTTGCCGATGTTGCGTGGACTCTCTTGCTTTGCAAGAGAGATACTCCAACTGTTCTGCGGTTAAAGTTCCCACAGCCCACAAAAAAGTATTCTTGATTTAATTAAGCTAGTTAATTGTGCTTCAGGAAAAGTGAATTTTTTTAGTCCACTTAAGATTTCAGTCACTCCTTCCAAGTCTCCGTGCTGTTAACTTGATACAGGGAGTATGATCAGAGTTTTATCCAGTGGGGACATGGACGCCTCTTCAAATGCTAAACAGATGGGTCAATTTCCTAATGAATAAGATCTTCACTGGGCAAACTGACTGCATTAGAAGTACTGTACATGTGTTTGCTAACACCGTTGTACACGTACTTGAAAAATCCAAATCATGGCTATTTCTTGTGTGGTGATGACATTTTGGAAGTATTCTGAATAATTTGCTCCAGAGTACACAATACGCTGTTCACGTGAAACACTAATGATTCGGAATATATGTTGGTAAAAAGTTTGTTTCTTTGTCAGAACAATGGAACTCGTTAAAAAGAAATCTTGTATATACTTGTAAATATGTCAAAGCTATATGTTTGAATAAAACAGAGTACACATGTATTGATATGAAGAAAATCTTTGGTTTGCTGTATTCGTTATGAAGTTTTACTACATGCATGTAAAATCATTGAAATTTTCGGCTCCAGGACTGTTGGATGTGTTAGGACTGTTTGGTCATTCTGTAAATTAGGGGTCCAATTTTTTCCTGTAAATGTACTTGCATATGACTTGATTTTGTAAGCGCAGAGCACATTCGATATTTTACAAGAGTGATGAATTAATGCACGAGAACTTGCCAAGCAGATTACAGTGCAATGTACATGTAGATCACGGTGTGCTGTAGCTATGAAGCGATTGGACTCAGTATACATGTACAATGATCCCAGGGGGTCGTGTCACAGATCGTTTCCACCTTTTTTAGGGTTCTTTTTTAGAGTTCTGCAGTACATGCGTGGATCGTGCACATACGTACCTGCGGTGTTCTTACGGTTGTTGCATACTAGCCAAATAGCGCCCTCTGTACTTCTGGTAATTTAGGCCTCCCGACATAATCCGCGCGCGTTGCGGAGATCATTGCTGTACCCAAGCTTTTTCGCTTTTAGGGTGTGCCAAAAAAGAAAATACTAATGGAAATCAGTTCTCAGGGAACGCCTCCCAGCCCAGGGTCTAGAAATGGCAAGGTATCGCAACCCAAGTAACGGGCACTTGTGTATTTTTGGTGATTTTTTCACTTCCATGGTTACATATCATAATGCTTACATAACCAGAAAAAAATTGAAACAGAAAGGGACGGGGGACGCCAACAGGGAAGGCTAGCTGTTAATCGTTTCTTTCCCGGACCTTTGTCAGAGGTAGAGACGATAGTAGGCCTATATCCAGCAAGAAATGAGACGGGGGTACCCTTCCAACACGTCCAATCGCTATACACACTCTAGGCTACCCCCCATATGGCTGAAAAGAATTTCCCCAGATTCCAGTGAAACAATGACCAACACCATGGGGGTTCTCTCCGTCTTATATCTTGCTTCATATGTACGATAGGGCATCTTTCCTGTTTGGCAAATGTAATTTTGCTATCACAATCAGTAGCAAACATCGGCCCTTGAAGACAGGTTGCAATGGTGGCGGCTGAAGTTGCATGTGTTCCGCATGCGACTGAGACTGTCGATGTCCTTTTGCAGCATGCACGTCGCATTGATCTTGGGGTGCGATCGCCATACATACAGTCGATTCTCGTTATTTAAACACCAAGCTCTGCAAATCCCAATTTCTGGAATTCATGTATTTTTCTTTGTTTTATCACTCTTTGCAAGAGAGTCCTTTAGCTTTGTAATATATAGAATTGACTGTGTATGTAAATTTAGCTCATAGACGTAACCACACACATTATTATATAACCGACTTCAACCTTCACTCGGCCTAGCGCCCTCTGTTGATCGTCTAGCATTGTTTACGCGCATGAACGTTTCCTCGATATCGAGTGCCTTAATTCCAGGGAGAAGTATTGAACGACCTTTGCTGCGTGGCCTTCAGGTAGGAGGAAGGTTACTGTCTAAAAGGACTAAAAGGTCTTGCAAATTTAGCTGTGTTGATGACTTTTCCCCTTTTCACCGTGACCTAGTTGAATTGATCAGGTAAACTCGCCTCGTATCCACTTAGAAATCGCCGGAACCCACGGCTACGGTGAACAAGTACCGCGTTGGGATTCGCGGAAAGGTCACTATTTTGTGAATAAAATCACGTTTACATTTCATCAGGTGCGGTGCTTTTCTTGACTCCTAAACAGAAGCGCTCTTTATGATATATCTGTTCGCATCAAGTTAGCATCGGCTCGGGACTTTACTTCAATCAATCAGTTAGCCGTGCATTGAGTGTTGAGACTTACAAGCATTACTCTGCCCTTGAATGGTTTTCCACGAACTTAGGTGCCTGTACTAATCTTTGTCGCATCCCTAACATCAGTTCCTCGAAATTGGGCAATGTGAGGGGTCTGCTTAATTGGAAATTGTCCTGTTGAGATTGTGTTGAATCTATTGTCACAGTATAGACGAAACCGTGAAGAGGGACGTCCAAATTCCACTGGTAGTTTAGTTTTAATAAAGGCCGTACCTAGACTTTCAAAAAAGTGACGGGTTCGCTTATGGAAACGATGCAACCCGTCCAAATACCCTTCTTGTGTGTAAAGCAGAAAACACATTGGTTATTTTTTTGGCGGAATGAGACGGGAAGTATGACTTTCGATATTTTCAATAAGTGGGACTCTTTGGCATTTTCTGATAGTGGCGAAGTTTTTTAGAAAAAACAAACGATAATCGTGGATTGTAGTTGCTGTAGCAATTGTAATATGCGAGTTGAAAGAGTTTACCTATTATCTAAAAAAAATTCTCCAAATGATGAAGACTTGCAAGCTTTCATACTTGACTACACAGATACACTTCTTTTCAACTAGATGGATTTTAGATTTCAAAGTGGCATAGGGGGCGTTTGTCGCGGAGAAGAAGTATATGTTTTGGTCAGTTGTGGCAATTTTTCAGGTACTTTTAACGTTTTACATCAAGGCCAGGCATGATCATAGTTATCTGCTTATTGAACTGTAATTCACGTGATCAGGAGACTGATTTTTGTGTCAATAGTGGACAGTAAAGGGTACATTCATGATGTGAATTTTACTCGAGAACATTTTCTGTGCAATATTCCGTCCCTCTAAATATAACCAAACTATTTTTCGTCTCTTTTCGGACTCTCTTACACTCTTCAAACGTTAATTAAACAATGCGTGTGTTTTCCCTGACAAAAAAGTGAGGGCGCTATTTATGTGATTCATTGAAGGTAGACACTGTTCGTTGTAGCGGTTTGCTGTTCAGATTGTGAGCCCGGTATTTGATCGTTTGAATATATTTGTGTTAAAAGTTTACTCACCAGCCTACCTCGTGACATGAATTGAAACAACAAATCAGCGAAGGAAACAAAATCCACCGAAGCCCAATACCCAACATTTTGGCAAATTTTAGTACAAAAATAGTTGTACATCACTACATGCGTACTACTGAGGTTTCGACTTTAATGATATAGCCCTATGACGGTCCTAAGTGCTCCGTTTTCAACATAATTTTTACATACAACCAAGGGGGTTAGGGATAATCATCGCTTTTGCTTATAAAATTCAATACAGTAATCACCCAAGCAAACAGATTTTACTGCAGTCAAAAATTTCAACGTTTTTGCTATTTGAAGTAAAGGAATAGCTAGCTGCGCATGTAACAGAGGTTTCCGCCTTTGATGACACTAGACTTTTTTGTTCATAAATTTTCAAATTTCCATTAGAAGAGGCGTTAAAGAGGCACCATAAAGTGTCATGAAAATGCTCAAACTGAATTTTTTAATCTGACTAAATGGGACACAAAGATGGACGTTTACGATAAATGCATAAAACAAGTGTTGACGCATATTCAAGTTGATTCCTTGCGTAATTCTAAACCAATCAACCCATTCTTTTGGCAATATCGGCAAAGGTTAATACCATCTTTTGGATGTTGGAGTGAAAACGAATCTCGACGAAACCAACGGTAGTCCCGCGTTCAACACAAAAGTAAATTATGGATTATGTTTTTATAATAACTGTAATCTGTATTGACTTGGGCTTATACATTAGACCACAGAGCAACTATTATCGCCACTAATCTGCGTGGCGTATAAACAAAGAAATTGGAGCCCAGCTGCCACACAGCCGCCTGATTGACCAGGACTCCGGGAAAATCGGCTGCCTCCATTAAGACGATTGGGCTGAGTCTCTGCTCACTGATTATCGAAGCTGGGGAGACGGGCAGCGTGCGTAACATGCATGCCGAAACCGAACGGAACGGAGACGGTTGGACTTTTCATCAGCAGGCAGGGCGTTCGAACCTCAGGAGTGTGGGCGAACCGCACTCATGTCGTAGGCGCACGCAATAAGGAACAGCGGCCGATAAGCATCGTCGAGAACGCGCGTGTTTGTGCTCAGCTCGATGAAAAACAGCTCATTGAGCAAACATTTTGGGGGGACACACACTTCGCGAGCGGAATAACAACCGTCACCGTGGCCAAGCCATACCGGCTGTCGGGGGTGATGCCTGTATAATGATCGCCTGTTATTTACTGAAGACTAGATGCAACAGTTTCACGTACGTCTGACGAGTTGCATTGGACTAATCCTTTCATAGAGCATCTCCAAGACCCCTTCAGACTACACCAGGTTAGTAGAAAACAGTAAATCTTGTGCATTTTTGCTCATTTTCAGTGTACTTTTCCTAAATTTTTTTCATGGACAAGGGCTTGCTTCTTATATCTCTTCTTTCATTTCATGGGCACATTCGCACAGCTCCAAACACTTGACTTTTATTATTCCGGTGCGTATTGCCCGTGCAAGAGAGTGTGACTCGCCCAGCTTGATTTTTTTTTTGAAGGGCGGGGACTGTATATTGATTATATATTCGATAACTTCAAGAAGTGGATGTGCGCACAATATTTACCTCTGGTGTAGGTCAATTCGACCTCGCTTGTAAGGAGAAGGGGAGGGGATCTTCAAACAGTAAAGCCCTCTGGGATGGGACATCATCCCCCCGGCGTAGTCCTGTCGAAGGGTAAGGGAGACAATAGACCTGATCGTGTTATTCTAACTTCTGGATATTTACCCTCTCCCATCATAATATTTCCTCTGTCGGCGCGTTGCGGCAAGCCAGGATGTAGGCGAGTGCATTATGCTCAGTGCGATGCTGATCGATTAAAATGGGGCCCCTGTACTCTACATGTACGTGTACATTACTTAGAGCAAGGTATGGTTTGATATGCACAACTATCGAAAGGTTGCTGAGAGTTGGGTGGGATGAGACGAGAATTGAAAGAGTTGGACTTGTCTTCATTGGAAAAACAAGCACATGCACCGGTGTTATTATTTTAGATTAGCCTACCCACCTTGCTCCTGGAATAAAGAAGTCTGGGAAATCCAAAGCGGAGATCGGTTGTATTGTCATGAACTGATTGATCACTATTCCTTCTTAGCACTCTCCAGAGATTATCCAGTGCACCTGAGCTTAATGGACTTCTGGTTTGGTACTGTGAGAGTGTCTTTTTGCGAGATAGGTCATTCAACTTATTTAACCGAAAGCTGGTATCACGAAATAAAAGGTCGTTACATGTAATACTGGGAATTAAGTACTGAAGAGTCCACCTCGAGACCTTTTATTACGTCTGCGGTGTAATCTCTGACCAACCAAAGTTAAAACACTGACGGTCTCTTTTATTGCCTTTCGGTGAAAGGGGAGCATTGTTGCAAAGTATACAATTTTCAAAGTGCTGTCCGAGGAAACAATGGCTTTGGGATCACAGCATAGAGTTCTACGAAGTGCTTGAAATCCCGCGATGCTGACGTTGCCAAGGATACTGGACACAATGGTGAAGGTCGTGTGGGGTTGCCAAATAATCAATACAATGCAATTGTGCATCGATACCAGCATTGGGAATGTTTTTTTTTTTTGCTTTCACCGTGTCTTAACTTGTTTTTCTTAATCTCAGGAGGAAGAGACACATTTTGATTACTGATGCTATTAAAATGAAGAGGCGTCGTTCGCTTCTGCGGGTTAGTGGGCAGACGCAAAAAAAAGTGTTACGCGCAATATCTCAGTAAAGTTTGACTGTCGTGCGCTTTTCCCTACCAAACCAGACTCTTCTCGCGGGGGAGGGGGGAACAAGAGTTCCCAGAGGAAGGTATTTGCCAACACTGACACCCACCCTCCGGCTATGTCACTGCTGCCATTCTAATGTGTTTGCAAAAACACGACGCTCTTCTGTAAGAACTGAAGCCATTCTGAAAGAATGAAGCCTGCAGCGTTGAAGGAACAACGAGCGGGATTACAGTTATACGTGTGAGGAGTTCAGGCGTATACCTATCTTGGGGTTTGTAAGAAGGCATCCCAAATTCAAATCGTTCGAATCACTCCACAATGATGCATAACAACTTGAAGATAGTTGATCTGTGAACTTAGAAGAACGGGGATTAATCTCTCCAGTTCCCCTTTTACGGACGCTGATTAATACACACGACGGAAAGACGACACACTCGTCTTGCGTGACGTCCGACACTCTTTATCGGCCTAGGCCTACCTTGTGAAAAATCTCTCTCAGCCATTGCTTCGTTGTGTCATTAACTGCCGATCAGCAAGGAAGCTTTCTGGAACTGACCGTTGGCTGTATTTTTGAGGCAACTAGACCTTAGACAATATGAATCGTCAAGAGCACGCATGCGCCGATTGACTCGTATAGGTGTTACAGTGCCCACCTCTGAAGTTGCCATCGAACACACCTTTTTACCCGAAACAAAATGGTTTGACGCGGTGGGGGAAATTGCTCAGAAATGAGCGGATCCATTTGTCGGGTTTCCGATCACCAAAACACTTTGGATGGAATGGTATATAGGCCTATAGGTTAAGAAATTGGCCGTATTGTGGACGGATGGTTGTGGACAAAAGTAGGGCAAGGTATGGCTGAGAGCTGGCAGTCTTTGTAAGATTATGAGGCCAAAAGTAAACCCAGAACCACATTTTGGAAGGGGGGAATGCAAGGGGGAACGTTTTGAGAAAGTGTAGTCGTCTATGGTCTTTCTCAGAGTTGGGGCTAACTTTAGGGACTTAATGCCTTGGGAAGAAATAACCTAATAGGGAACAGGGCTAGCGCTGAACCAGGCAAGTGCCCAGGCAGGTTTCCTGAGACAGGGTACCATATCGTACCATGCTAAATTTCTAAACTGCTGGGCACCGTTTAGATATTATCATCTCGTGTTAGTGTCCATAAACTATTACATTTAATGTTACCGCAAATCTTCAAAAGTTAGCACTGCATGCCGAGAGCGGCGGATGAGTGCAGCTAAATATAAGCACAGGTTTCGCTGCCACAAAAAGCCTTTCATGATGGTTTAACGAGATGATAATGAATTCATAATGGCTCCTGTAAGTTCTCAGAAGGGTAGAGGGAACTTCCAACGGGGCGCCCTTGTAGGATCTTGCATAAGTTATTATGAATCTATAATATCATCTGTCAATTCACAAACGGCTATTGTGAAACGTGTGTGCTCGTTTTTACATGTATTGTGTCTTTATCTTTTGATTTCTTTCATATCTACAATCCAAGGACCAATAACAAGACTCCACTGCATCATTAACGCCAAGCGGCGTGTGAATTCAATTACAGATAACCGTTCAATTTGACAGGAGTGGATCCAGAGGGGATCAACGCGGGGGCATGCACCATTCAAAAAAAAGGAGCCAACGATTGTTTTGAAAAACAATGAGATGAGCCCCAATGCTAGCTTAATTCCTTTTTATGCATGACAAAAAAGTCCAAAATGTTAACCCCCCCCCAAAAAAAATGGCCCCTTCGAAAATTTGGTTATACCGATAGATGTTAGACGTTCCCTGACGAGGCCCACTTACATAACTATTGATAAATTTAGTTTAGAAAACGCTCGAAGCGTCTGTATTTCTAGTCAGAATGATTGACTAAAAAAGAAAGCTGCACACAGAGTGAGAATCTATTGTTAAAAGCTGACTGACACTACATGGCTCAAATTTATGTTTTCTATTGTGAAAAGGGTTTTCAGTGGAGCAAGATGGGGGTAGGCTGGTTAAGAGAGTACCTTTCCTCCCCAATATTTGTAACAAGTGACCCTTTTCACGAATGGGGGGGGGCAAACGGTGCTCCTTCCCCGGGGTTCATCCTGGTCTCACAACTCCCCCTCCCCCCGTAACCTGGACCCTAGAGTAACGTAAACCCTGCCGTGTAGCTATAGAGATTTGTATGCGGTCAGCTGAACGTCTAGCCATATCCCTGGGTTGGCTGCCCCGGGTCTCTGGTCTGTCAAAGCGACTAAGACGCAGTCTATACATGCAAAGCATGGACACTCTCTTAGATCTGCAACCACTTGCCTCACTGTCTGCAGGATGGTAATCTCCCATCTGCATCCCTGGCAACCCTGGCCTTTCTCGGAACGGAGATCTTTTGGCACTTCCGCACCCTCTCCCTTACAGAGTAAACCGCGCACTTTAATCAAAGAAATCGAGTTAGTCACGTCGAAATCATGCATTTGAAGCCAGTGACCAGCAACTCTGGTATAAATCCTGTTTGGCGAGATTCCAGAGCTCAGGGGCACCATACCGTTCATTTCATGCTCCGAATTCATCCCCATCCTTGCTTCTTTGGACGCAGGTTCCGCTGACAGAGGGAGCCGCCTGGTGTCTAACTGTCAATCAAATTTTTTATACGTGCGAAATGTGTCATTCATGCCGTCTTTGGAAGTAGGACCACCATTTGCGTCGCGTTGTGTAACTGGGTTAACGCCTCCAAAATTTGATTGATTGGGTTATTTAAGAGGGCGCCCCACTGCGAGGACGCAGCATTAACTGCTACCATGTTTTGAGCGAACGTCCTTACTTTGGCTTCTATTTGCAGGTCGTTAATCTGAGTGTTATTTTTTTCCAGGTTGGTGATATAACCACCAAACTGAATAACTGAACTTGCAATGTCACATGGCCCGATGCGTGCCTTGCGGTGTTAACAGTGGTTACTCCTTTAAATAACAGTGTCAGTAACATTACGTCATGCTGTTTAATATAGTAACATTACAAAAGTTACAAAATGAAGCTCTTGTATAAATGTTATTCATATGTTTTCATATAACCATTACTGCGTATTTCCAATGGACCTTTGCCTGCGAACACTGACAAAACAGGCCTATACAAACTGCAATGAAACAAAAATCATTCCTTCCCCCTTGTTGAAGGTCAAGTAAATCGTACCGTGGCATAAAAGCAAGATACCTTACTTCCTAACGAAAATCTAAATTCGGCTCGTCAAATGCTCGAATGAAGATTTCAGTGGCACGAATTGAATTCTTGGATTCGGCGGTTTTTCTTACCCTGGCGACATTTAGGAATGCCCCCTTTCATCCCCGATTCGGCATACATAATTCGAGACCTGTTGTGATCTGTCTCCCTCGACAGTTAACGTTAATCATGTGCCACATTGCATGGCTTCAAATCCGGATGAAAACACTTGTCAGGGGCTCGTTGAGTGGAAGATTGCGAGGCTTGGAGTGGACGAAAGCAGAACGTGGTTTGACTGGGCTTCATTGCTCCCTTGGGCAAGGTATCTGTCCCCCCCCTCTTTTTTTCAAGCTTTAAAAGTCCCTGTCATGTCTTTCTGGAGAAAACCAAAAGCCCTCCTTTTGTAATCCCTGTCCTTGTCGATGTGTAGAAAAGGTACTTTCCAGCTACTGATTAACGAGCTGTGAGTGGAGAGAGACAAAAACTCAGCAAAGCCCGCCCCAAGGACCTTGGTGCTACAGCGGCACCCAATCCCGGCCCCAACTCCTGTGGCGCGAACAAAAGGTGATCACGGTGGAATTCTGTCTCTTTTGGGGGAGGTGGTTTGCCCACCGTCCGGAGCACCGTGCTGTTTGTGCAGTGTGGGACGATTTTAATGCATAGTTGAGGGTATTAACGTGGGGTGTCAACAGAACACGAGCAGAGATTTAGGCATCAATGGTTCGTGAAAAGTAGTCAACAAGTAGGGTAGGAGAGCTGGTTTTCCAGTTGCATGTACGCCATCTGAGACACAGCAAGCAAAGTTCGTTGTTCTCTTCAGCCAGCTCTACATATTTGGCCAATTTTTGTCACTTTAACTTGGAGGCTAGCAGGATCAGATGGCACCGTCAGTTAACGGTAACGTGTCTGAACATTTCTATGACAGGTGAGCTTTCATTCGGAAACAATGATGCCTTTTGACTTCCCGAGACTGGCCAAAAAAATCCTTTAAGAGTTTCAGACTATGTGGACATTGATTTTGGCGAAATTGTTTGTTACTATCAATGTAACATGGGTGATTAGTTTGGTTCTTCAGTAAAGTGACAGGTAAACCTGACTGAGCCAGGTCTTTTTGTAAACATAGTGCATGTAGGGTTTGTGCTTGAGCCGAGTTTACTTTTTTTCTGTGTGGTGATTGACAAACTTTCCCCTACAGTATACTCTTTTATTGGTGATATTGGTGTTGGATTTCTGTAACTTGAGGGCTCAAGAGGGTGACTGAAATTTGAAAATATTAGTGTCATTCTTCATTTTAGGACAAAGCCCTGCAAGTTGAATTCGTATTCGCACATTTTTTTCTTTTTGAGTGCCAAATTTATGTTTTTTTTAAATCGAAGCTTGAAATTTATTTCGTAGAGGTATCATTGGTTTTCAGTCAACCGTTTATTGTCTCTTTGATGTCTTCTTAAATGTTTTTGATATCTTAACGTTAAGTGCCATATTAAACTGATTACTGTTACTGTTTGGGGTTATTGATCACAAAAATTAATTAAGTATCAAGATCCTCACCCATTCGCACCCAATGATAACATCCAGAAAATATATACTTCCCCCCTGTATTTTGGTCTTGTTCGACGAGCAGATCGATTCAGAGTAGACTTTCAGTGCAGGAAGACATTGTGAGCATTTTTATGTGTATTTTGCATCAGGTTCCTCCCTTGTTTCAGAAGAATAGCTGATAGTGCTTTTCATTGGCCCACGCGAAATGCGCAATTATTAATTAGCATAAAAAGACATTTCGCAGTACACAGTCCGCAGGTGGTTACCAACATGTACTGTTCAATGTACATGTACGTGTCTTTATCGCTGCATGCTGACGAGGCACGCTGATAAAAACGCAGGTAACCAGATGGTGGGTGATACGTACATGTGGAGCTGGTGACGGTGTGGCCTGTGTAGGTAATATATACGGGTCATTATCTTGATCGTCTCTTATTGTCCTCGATTTCAGCCCACCGAGTCCGGTGGAGAAACTGAAAACGCTGGCGAGACATTTCAGCCGGTTCTACACAGACGAGATGAAGACGGACAAGAACTCACACGGGTTCCGCCTGGTGCTACTGGGAAACGACGGTGTGGGGAAGTCGGGTAAGAACTCCGAATTTCTTCGCAAGCTTCTGGTATATCTCTGTATGAGTTTAATCATTTTCTCTCTCTACATCTATCGCAAAGTGTTCGCGGATAGCCGCGTACCAGTTGTGCGCGCTTACTCAAACCTGAATCCGAATGTACTATTTTTTTGGCAAGATGCCTGTCTATTGTATTATGGAAACAAGCTTCAAGACCAGTCTGCCGCGTAGGGCATTGGTCGTCAGCCTGTCCTCGAGGCACGTTTCGTCGTGATGTGCGGAACAAGTTTTGTTGAATTAGATTATGTTTGGTTTGTGTAAGAGCATATTTCGTTTCATTAGAGTTCTTTTAATCGTGTAGCCGTCACATTCCCGGAGCAGATTGACCCTCATAAGACTCGCACCAATCTCTAAGTGAAAAGGCGTACAGCATTTCCCCCAAATGTGTTATTGTTGCATTCCTTCCTCGATGATTGTTATCAGATCATCTGTACGATGACAGTGTCATCGCCGTACAGATTTAGTAAAGCTTGTATGACCTATTTATTTAAAGTACAGTCCATACCCTCGTTCACAGTGAAATTTTGGAACAGGTCAGTGGCGTAAAAAAGTCCTGCCAAAGTTGAACCTCATTATTACGCAGTCATTATCAAGTCATGCGTCACACATAATACTAATTGGTTGTGCTTGACACGTTTTATCTTATGAAGCATTTCCGACAAGAGCTTACAGCGATAACTCTGATTGGCTTATCAGCCACCCTCCCCCGGCAATTAATTAGTGAGCCAATCAGCCAACAGATCTCTTGTAATATGGTTGTTTCCCTCACTAAAATAAACCTTTCAATGTTTTTGACATGATTTTCTTGGGGAGTATCTGGATGGGGCATCGATATGGGGGAGTTTTGAAAAAGAAGTCAGATTCACAGATCGAGTCAGAAGAAACAAGTGTTGCTATTGGTGTTGACGCATATGGCTTGATCGTACCATCCGTTTTCTCATAGGCATTTTAACATAACATTTCTGTGACCCTCAAGTAAAGTTCTCGGCGCGGGCGGTGAAACCAGGGCCGGGTCGGGGGGGGGGGTCGCCCCTTCACTTTTTCGAGTGAGGGGCAAGCCCCCCTGCAGGTCCTATTACAGAACACAATGGGGCGGGGCTTGATGGATCGGTCCATTAATGACTTATGCCTGATGATCTCACAACTGGCCCCACTTTGACTACTCAGCATGATGAATGAAGTCGTTCGAAATCTCCTGTGTTAGATGTCAATTGGTGTGTGGAGGAATGATTGGTGACGTTAATGGTCCGATTCGCCCACAGAATGTACAAGTTCAATGATACAGCGTACAGATTAACAGTACTTGTGCACACCCGACGGCTTCGTTAAATAAACAAAACAATCAGGTCATAGAAAATCACACCTGCATGACCACACAGGTGTTTAATTTTGCAAATAATCCGATAATTACGCGAGCGCCGATTTTATGCCAACCCGATAAGTCGTTGTTGGCCGGTGTCGGAACATGTGAAGTCCTGACGGAGCTTTGTTGCAAACGACAGTTACTGGAACGTGTTTGTGTTGCTAACGGATAGTGCCTTGGCGAGACACCCACAAACACAATAGACCGGCAGGTTGCTGGTTTAACTGTTAACTGCTACGAAAATAGCGGGATCCTTTAAACGTAAGCCGAAGTCAGACCAGGTCGAGGCCCTGAATGTAGGAAGGACTTCACATTGAGTGTAGACCCACAATAAAGGAGGGTGAACTTTGAAAACGTTTTCTTGGGATTTACTGGCTCATACAATTTCGATTAATCATTCATATATTCACATGAATTGCCATAACCAACGGTGCACACGGAGACAAATGTTGACAGCGTTCATACCATGCACGCCCATAATGCATATTCAACGAACGTTCTAAACACTAAAAAGCTGAAATAATGTGAATATTATTGCATAACTTTGGACGATGTGTCCCGTCCAGGTTAGATAGGAATACGCTGGGGAATTGGAATGTTGGAATGCATTAATCTATAGGACGAAACTCTCGCACCAACCAAAGAGTAATTGTCACCCCTTTTCAGTGAGCAGTCCCCAATTATATCATTTTCTTGGAGATAGCGTGTCAACAACTATTGTGATCCGCAAGAGCCATCTCTTGGTCCACTATTCAAACCAAGCCCAATTACCTGCCTATAATGGGTCCTTGGTAGAAAAACGGGGCCATTGTGTCCAGCGCCTCCGCAGGTTACCTTTAGCAGGAGCGGATTACCATAAGAAAAGACACTAATCCTAGAGTTATACGACGGGTCACTCTGTCGACGGACCAGACAGTCAGCCCTAATCAGTGATTGAGGCTCTGAAGTTATATTGGAAAATAAACTTCTCAACTCTTGTTCATTTTCCCATGCCCTTTGCCCTAGTTGCATTTTTGCTGCCCCAAAATTAACTTGAATGCTGTCGAAGGGTAAAGACTTAATGTTTAATTGTCACTAGTGATGAGGCATTGCCGTGCATTGTTCAACGTGGCGCTTAATCTTCCTTAACCCGAGAATGCATCATTTGATTGTCAGTTTGGTCAAACTGCAAATCTTAAAAAAAAAAGCCAGAGAAACCTCTTCCACTTTGCAAGATATATAGAAAATTCGAGGTTTGCTGGATAAGTAAACGCCATTTCATGAAGCCACATCTTCAAAGCAGCGTCAGTTAGGCAGGGATTTTTTTTTCAATTGTATAGAAATTGAAGATTTCCAATATTTTGTCTTTTCTGTTTCTGCAGCCATTGCGGTTCGATTTCTTTGCGGCAGATATCTTCACGAGTACGACCCCACACTTGGTAAGTTTTACGTGGATGTCAGTGTTGAATTCAAGCAATGTTTGACGATGCAAATTAAATTGTCATGGCACCGAAAAGATCGGAAATATATTACCATCATGTGATTTGTTTGCCGATTTGGATTAAATTAGTTGAAGTGCGATGATTTCATTATAATAGTGAAATTAAGATCAGTGAAGTTATTTAGCCAGTAGGGAAATAGCCATTTAGACATTTTACTTGACTGTTGTCGTGTATGAAGAAAACAAAAGGTGAATAACATTTTCATTTTAATGCGGAATTTTTACCCCTTTGTGCTCGATGACGGGACGGCTTCCAAGTTCACTCTAGCCAAATGTCACGTCGTGTTCCTATACTATAGTGGTGTATGAACCACTTATTGTAATCCTTCGAGTGTATTTACCCTGACTATCAGAGTGACTAACCACAATATCCATAAAACAAACACCTCCAAATCTTACGGATGGGACCAGGTGGCGATGTCCACCAGCAAACCTACATTCATTATTAGCGCCATAAATCAGTTTCTTTGATATATTCGGTGTCTTGGACATTTTGTAATCAGAGAGTGAATAATTGACGATACAAGGTTTAGAACGAGAAGCTGATCTCATGCAGGGCTCATGATTTCCAGTCCTGTTCATTAATGGCAATAAGTAAATGACCAATGGATCACTCGTTTCACTCGAATCCAAGTTAACTCCTTCGTCTTGACGCGTCACACTCTCTTGCATCCCTCGGCAAGGGATGAAAACACACACAGCTTCTCCAGTCGCATATTTTTCGCTTCCCTGTCTTTGACCATCTCAATTCTCCCTGCCCACACATTTCAGTCACGTACCCACCACTTGGTTTTGCGAATACGGGGTACATTTACGGGAATCGTACACTGATGGGAGAGTGCTGTTGTGCTAAGTCGTTGAGTCGGTCAGAGGACCCCAAGTGTCCATAAATGAAAAGTTCAAGCGTTACAGTCTGGGCCGAAGATCTGTTTGCCTGACCCCCCGCGACCTCTCAATAAGTGATCTGTGTGGATTCGTTCCCGATACTCTTTGAGCCAACTACCTCTCAGCCCTTCCGAGTGGAAAAATCACCGTCTACTTTTCGCCCTTTAGCGTAATTGGTCTACTGCAGTTGACGTCAAGCAAGACACAGCTGCGGGAAATTCATTCAAATTGCACGCTCACAAATCCCAGTGTTACCGCTGACTCGCTCCGTCTGGACTGTTTTGCCCTCGTCTTAACTCTTACATCTATACCATCTGACTTCCCCTAATTTTGACGTAAATGCAAATTAAGATTTCTAAATTACAAGATTAAATTCCAGGTGCTTCTGCGATTATCATTAAACATTCATGTTTCGTGTCTTCGGGTCACTTTGCGATTCAGATTTTTTTCCCTCTGAAAGTTCTACTTCATCGCGTGACTCAGAGAGTTTGTTTTTGTTGAACTTTACAGAGAGCCGATACGAAAAAATGGAGACAGTAGACGGGAAAACAGTGAAAATAGAAGTATTCGACACAGCGGGACAGGTAAGAGATTCTGAGAGTCCATACGATACCCATTTTGTAGGCTGCCACACTGGTCAACACCGCCCTCTTGATGTACCTAAAAGATATCTTCGAACTGAATTATTAGTTTCGCCAGTTTGTGTGTTGACATTCGTCGATAATTTTTTTTCAGACAAATCTGGAGGACTATCTTCAAGCTGCAGATGCTATCATGTTCGTGTACTCCATCACAGACAGGGACAGCTTCGACGCCGCCAAGCTCTTCCAAGAGAGATTACAGTCCTCTCTCAAATCTCACCTCCCTATCCTCCTGGTCGGCAACAAACGCGAGTTGGAGCAAGGCAGGCGAGTGTCCACCAAGGAGGGCTTCTCCTTGGCCCGGGAAGCCGGCTGGCGCTTTCACGAACTCTCGGCGGCCACGGACAGCGTAGGCCTCAAGACGACCATCCTGGACTTTGTGCGGGAGGCGCAGGGGGAGCTGAGGAGGTTGAAGGTCAAGAAGGGGTGGAACATCCGGAGAGCCGTCAGCGTCCTGTACGGACACTCAAAGACAAGCATCAAAGAGGAGGGGACGGTTATCGACGAGGAGCCCGTGTTCACGACGCAGCACAGAACCAAGGTTTTCCAGAGGAGACAAACCTGCCCCAGTTTATGAACAGACTCGCCGACAACCTGGTACTGTTTCAGAGCCTGCGCACAGACTGCATGGGTCATGCCACTCAACCCGACCCTCCCCATACGTCGGTCTCCATTGCTCCAAGGTACCACTGTTGCGCTTGATCGGTTCTTAAGGGATGACGTCATCAGCTGTCGCTCTGAAAACAATATTGGTGCTATAAACTATTTGTAAATATTTTAAGTGACCGGTCTCATTTGGTGACTGTATTTGTTGTTCTTTTTTTTTTTTGGCAATACATGTAGTGATTTCTGACTCATGTGGTCTATAAAAAGAGCGCAATTTTAATTTGTTTTTAATTTTGGTATGTAAATATTCAATCAGTTATATTTGACAAATTTGCTATTAAAAGGCACGAATATATTTCATTCTGGCTCAAGAAGACGTGAATCTATCAAAGGTATAGATTCTTGAAAAATTGACTTGCAAATGGTAAAATTGACGAGGTCTGTACTTGACCTTAGTGAGCAGTTTTCTGTAAATACAAAATATATTTGAAATGGTCCTTTGAAAACGTAAACTTGACCCCGGAGAAAGAGATCTTGAGGGCGCGATATGCGTGTTGGGGTCGAATCTTGTGGAGTGGTATCGTATGAGAAGCTAAGAATGGTATATTCGGAATTATCGTCACTGTGGTTTGAGTCGACTCTGAATATCGATATTGTTTGTGCCGTGTGTTTCTTGTGTCTCATGTTACTCGATAAATTCTTATCTCGTTTCAAAGTGTAGCAAATAATGATGCGGACCCCGTTTTGTTGATTCATTGTTCGTCTGTTTTTCACATCGTTATGCCCCAATTTTTAGCGTATTCAAACAGTGGAATTCGAAAGTGTGTTTTGTGTGTCAGTGCGTATGTTTTTTTTAATTATTATTCTGTACTGCTTTAAGTCGTTAATGGAAGCTTTTGTTTTGTCGTATATTTATTCATGAGTGATTTACCATTTCAAATGGCTGTTATGTTACAAATGAATGTTACAATCACTGTAAACTCGTGAAATGCTCTGTGGGTGCTGGTGTTCATCAACGGGACTCCTGTCCACTGGATATCAGCAAAAGTGTATATATGTATGCGGAACTGATAATCAGCTCTGACTTTTAAATCAAACTAAACTGTGTTTAATTTGCTGTTCTTTTATTTCATTTTTGTGATTGTTGTTTAATGTTGGCTAAGAAGTGCCCCCGTCCATAAGGAACAGAGCACTGGTTATTTTCAGTGATTTCATCGACCAATTACAACTTTAAAGACGTACATTTAAAGTCTAGTTTCCGTGCAAGGGGACCTTCACGATTTCTAAACAACCACGCCGTCAAAAACCAGAATACCTGTTAGAGGTTGTCCCCTTGAGCCGACAAAGCCTCCGTAGGTCATGGAAATAATGGGACATCATTGACTCATGTGCTCACGGTGGGAAAAGGAATTCCTACAGAAACTGTCGAAAGAACATACAACAGAGATATAGAATGGGCAATAGAGATATTTCACGAACCCATATCGTAGACCTTGAGGTGATAAAAGCCTGTTTAAAAGGAAATTCGAAACATTTGATTCGTCGTTATATTGTGTAGCGAGATGTTGAGCATTTTTGTTTACATTATATAATTACATGTTAACGTTTTGAGGGTTAAAGTCCATGTAGTATGAAAGTTTTCAAGGTGAAACTTTTTCGTTTATGGTCGCAGAAGGAATTGCCTGTATAACTTAAATCGACGTGTCTTTTATATGTTCGTATTTTACCCTGCTTAATGCAGTGAGCAAAATATTAGCGTGAATATGGCAAGTTAAGAGCAGACTTTATTCACATCTTATTCCGTCTGTATTCCGCAGTGCTATTTAACCTTTTCTTCGACTCTATAATTAAGTTCAGAGTCTACTTTTCTGTACTCAGAGATTCGATTGTAATCTCCAGAGATTATACGATTTTACTTTGGAAATCTTGAGTGGGATTTTTGCTGTCTAGTTTGCCGTCAGGGAGGGAGGACGCCAGACTCCTGAGACCGGTTGAGAATATCCATCCGCGCGCGGCCTTTTTATCTGATTGGGAGGGGACCGGCCTTTCTCGACCACTTCAGGTTTTTTTCCCCCTTTTTTTCTTGAAAACCGCTGTATCTCCAGGGATTTTGCACGAAAACGACAAATGCAGACGGCCTCGCTCAGCCGAAAATCTCGTCTCTAACACTGTGCATGTTTTTAATGCATTATTGATTCGTGCATATCAATCGGGCTCCTACGTCGGAATACTGGGCGAAAGTGGCTTACAGATGGAATTTATTCATTGCGGATCACTCGAAGATGTTAGTCGACTGAAGTAGAATCCCACGATCTCTGTTCCATCAAATACAACCATTTCTTGAATCATGAATAATTATGTACACACAGTATAGGGACTTACTGGCCGTAGCATATGACGTCTGTTGATGAATATATTTTACCAGTAACATGTTCACTTCCTCAAAACAACTACACCCGGTATATATCTTATGTAAGCTTGCACAAATAAGTCGTAATGCTTGGATTTTTAAAAGCTTGGTGCAACATTTGCACCTTTTGCCTAATTAGTGTTTCACCCCAATGATTATTTGCAGCGGAAAATTATGGTATAGCTGATTTATTGCAATAGGACTGCAAATAAACAGTCTGCTATTAAGGAGGACTCTGAATTGTGGATGTGCGAGCGTTGCCATTCTTGTAGATGAAAACTTCAAAATGGAGGGGGGGAATAAACTGATACCATTACAATGATAACACCTTAAAACAAAGTTTGCTCATTTGCGGAACCAGAACGGCAAAGATTACCGGGGGGGGGTCTCGGTATTAAGAGAGGACGGCGATTTGGGGGACAGTTTTATTTTCCTTCATTCCTAGAGCGTGCAAAAAGCTCCCGAAAAATGAGCTTCATTTTTCATACAGAAAGGCCATTTTTTTGTGGCCGCTCTCCCTGGAAAAATTTCGGACTCCCGAAAAATTGGTTTTGGATGCACCCTATCTCCGCCCCTTCCCAAACAGGCACCCATCCCCACCTTCAGTCCCGTATAATGATGTATTGCATTATCATAAGCACAGTCTGATTTCCGTTATGCTTACTGCGTGTGTGAACGAAAACCGGTTGCTTTGCTGCAATTTTCATGATGGCTGACACCACTGGCTGATTTTGCCGTCCACACGGGAGCATTTTGGTGGTCATGACCAGGAACTGGTTAGGTTGCTATTTACCATAGATTTTCTGTTGCAACTGTCGCAATTGGTTAAGAATTTAATTAACATTATGTTGGAAACTCAAATCCTCTAAACGCTGCTTTGTTGTGACCGCCAAAACACCCGCACCATTGCTGTGTGTGCCGTACATGTTCTTACAATCCTAGCCAAATCTCGTTTCCCCCGGCCCCCGTCTCAATGTTGGGTGTCGATGCGCGGCCTGCGCTCCAACTCGAGATGACACCATTGAGCGGGAGATTGGGGACCTAGGTAGGGTAACCTCACCTGTCTGTCTTTTGACGTGACCCAACAATCTTAGCTAGGACTGTAGAACATATCATTCTGATCTGTGGTGTGGACCGGTGATCAAATCTCTGAGAATACTTCACCCAGGAACTGATGTTATGCTGACTAGAATTATCTCACTTTCCACGCCGTGATCTTATCTTGAACACATGTCATGTAGTACTCGTTACGGTACTTATCACCTATCAAAGATTTTATATCACTGTAATGAAATAATATCTGCCGATTCGACGATAATTAAGTCATGATTTGTTCTAATATGGCAGATTTTCTCTTTCCTTTGCAGGGCCTAGACCTTAAGGGTTAAGCCTTGGCCTTGCAAGGCTCGCGGGTCAAAGTCTTGGCCTTTAGAATCAAAACCTTTGCTCCAACGTCACTGGCTTGTACTCGGACTGACATATATGAAATGGCAATACGACGTAATCGTATGATATATAAATAAATTTTGAATATTCACTGACAACCCATCTTTACCCCGATTTACATTTTGACACTCTGAATTTGCAAGTGTTTATGGAAAGGATACCTGCAATCAATTAGTTTTAACGCAAACCTTCAGAATGCACCTGTCTGTCTTCGTTACCCTTACTTTCAACTTTTACAATTTCCAAAGGGTGTTTCGTTGCCTCTTTTGCTTTCATGCTGACGAGTCATATCCATATTCGTGAGTGCAACTGTGATGCTATCCCGAGAAGAAAACCTCACTGTAACACTGGACTGTAAAAAAGTGACTGATGAGACAATGCAAGTATTTTTAGGAAGAAGGACACACATCAGATCCACCATACAACACGTGTTCTTCGGCAGAACTATTGGGTTCCTGGTTCGGCTGTCATTTTATGCCAGTAAAGAAGACAAGAGAAAACACTCCCCACCCGCTCACCAAAAGGAAAAAAATGGCGTGTCATTCATAATTTTATAATACTATAAATGAGTTCGGACCTGTAGACAGGGGTATAGACGTGGTCCGGGGACTTCAAAATAGTAAAGAGAAGCTGTCAGGAAGAAAGTTTATTGTTGACGACTATTGTTGTGTATTTTTACTACTTGATGCACTATTGTAGCTTTTAATCACTCAGTCTTTACACAGCAACATCCTGTGCAGTAAGGTTAATGATTTTGTTATCTCCTTAATATGAACAGCGCGCGAAAAGCAACATCTCCGAAATGGCCGAGTGGTTAAGCTCGCGGTTATTAGATCGTTAGACGGTGGGTTCGAATCCCAGGGGTGGCTTTTTATTTTCCAAACGCTCGCTGC